CGCCGCGCGGCCTCGGCCGTACTTCGTTCCGCTCCTTCAGCAGGTTCTTGGTCTCCCGCCTTCTACTGGCCCTCCTCCTCCCTTAGAGAGTCCACAGCCTGTCCTGTCACAGTTACAGTTACAGCCGGCCTCCCCACTGCCCGCTCCGTCTCCCTACACTGGTCCTACTGGAGGTCTTGCTGAGCGTCGTGAGCCTGCGTCGCGTTCTGCGTCGCCTGTCCGTACTGCTCGCGCTAATGGTCGTGGTTCGCGTCAGCGTCCTCCTCCTGTCCCTGGCACGCACCGGATGTCTCTGCGTCCGTCCACTGCTCCTCTGCGTGCCCCTTTGCCTTCTCCTCCTGAGTCCTCTCTTCCTGCTCTTCCCGACCCAGAGTCGGACTCTCTTCGTGCTGCCAGTCCTACTGTCACGCGTCTCCTTGCTACTGTCGTCACTGACCCTTCCTTTGCGTCCACTGCTGCGTCTGCCCTAGTTGCTGAGCTCGTCGACTTTGCTGCTCGCTGTCGTCTAGACTACGCTGCTTGTCTTGTCGCTGAGTCTGAGTCTGTCTGTCCTCCGTCCGTCGGGGGTGAGTGTGCCCTTGGCACGGACGTCCTTGAGGACAGGCAGGAGGAGTTCCAGTGTTTGGCTGCTGCTTCACCTCATCTCGTGTCCGTACTGCTTACCCCTGAGGGAGACCCGGATGCACTTGACATCCCGACTCCGCGCTCTTACGCGGAGGCGATAGAGGGTCCCTACTCCTCTCAGTGGCAGGCAGCTATGGACGCAGAGATGGCTTCCTGGAAGTCCACAGGCACCTACGTTGACGAGGTTCCCCCGCCTGGGGCGAACATCGTCAGTGGCATGTGGATTTTCAGGGTGAAGCGGCCGCCGGGTTCTCCGCCTGTCTTCAAGGCGCGTTACGTGGCTCGTGGCTTCAGTCAGCGGCAGGGAGTTGACTACTTTCAGACCTTCTCTCCCACCCCGAAGATGACCACTCTTCGGGTACTGCTGCACATAGCTGCTCACCGCGACTACGAGCTGCACTCTCTTGACTTCAGCACTGCTTTCTTGCAGGGCAGCCTGCACGAGGAGATCTGGCTGCGTCGCCCACCTGGCTTCACTGGGTCTTTTCCTCCTGGCACCCAGTGGAGCCTCCGGCGGCCAGTCTACGGTCTCCGCCAGGCACCGCGTGAGTGGCACGACACACTGAGGACTACACTTGCGGCTCTTGGGTTTGCTCCCTCTACTGCCGACCCGTCGCTGTTTCTGCGCACCGACACTTTTTTGCCGCCGTTCTACATCCTCGTGTACGTCGACGACTTGGTCTTTGCCACAGCTGACACTGCTGGACTCGCCCACGTGAAGTCCGAGCTGCAGAAGAGACACACGTGCACAGACCTGGGTGAACTGCGCAGCTACCTTGGCTTGCAGATCACCCGGGACAGAGCACGCCGCACCATTACCCTGACTCAGTCACACATGGTGCAGCAGGTCCTTCAGCGCTTCGGCTTCACGTACTCCTCGCCTCAGGCCACTCCTCTGCCTACTCGCCACTCGCTCTCAGCTCTGCCTTCGGATGAGTCCGTAGAGTCGAGTGGCCCGTACCCAGAGCTTGTTGGCTGCCTCATGTACCTGATGACCTGCACACGACCTGACCTCGCATACCCTCTTAGCATTCTCGCACGCTATGTTGCTCCTGGGAGACACAGACCGGAGCACATGGCTGCAGCGAAGAGGGTGTTGCGTTACTTGTGCAGTACGTCGGGCATGGGGCTTGTGCTTGGAGGGCAGAGTCCAGTGGTCCTCACTGGGCACGCAGACGCTTCTTGGGCTGACGACCAGGCTACGCAGCGGTCGTCACAGGGTTACACCTTCAGCCTTGGTTCCGGCTCTGTTTCGTGGCGGGCTACCCGCTCGTCTTCTGTTCTTGGCTCCAGTTGTGAGGCTGAGATCTACGCCGGGGCCATGGCTGCACAGGAGCTTCGCTGGCTCACCTACCTGCTGACTGACCTCGGAGAGCCGCCTCGTTCTCCTCCAGTGCTGTACGTAGACAACAAGGCCATGCTGGCCTTGTGTCGAGAGCAGAGACTGGAGCACAGAACGAAGCACATTGCTCTCCGCTACTTCCTTGCGTGGTCAGCTGTGGCTTGCGTACGTGGCCTCTCAGGCCAACACTGCTGATATCTTCACCAAGGCACTTGCGCCTTGTGATCATCAGCGCTTCTGTACTCAGCTGGGTCTTGTGCCCACCTTGCCTCACTTGCTCACCCCTTGACCTTGTTTGTACTGATGCATATATACATATACTCCTGCTCTTGCTTGTCTAGCCTTATATATATATGTAATCCTGCATGTGAACTGGCCTTGTGGCCTTGAACTTGTGCTCGGAATGTGTGGTGACTTTGTGATCCACCCTGAGCTTGTTTTGCTTTGCTTGACTGGTCCTGTGACCCCTTGTTCTCCCCCACTTTGCCTATGGGGGTGTGTCAGATTTATATGACATAGCTACTGTAGGCTATAGTGGGGTGGCACATATGGGGTACAGTTTTCTAGGGTTTGCTTTTTGTACCCAACTTTCACTTAGTCATTCCATTCCTCGTTTCTTCTCAGGGTGAACTCTGGGTAGGATCAATGTAATAGCGGAAGCGTTTAATGAAGAGATTGTGAACCACCTTGCGCTAGTATGTGAGGGCAAAGTAAGTTGATTAAAGCAAGGAGATACAAGATTATATAAGAGTACAAGGAATATGAAAGGATACGGTTATAACTGTTTTACTGTTGCTGTTGCGGTTCGATACAGTGACGACTCGGGCAACTGCTCTGTAGCGAGTCAGTTGTGTGTCCTTGCTGTCGCGCTGTACTTGTCAGGTCAAAGGTCGCTGACCTTTGACTTTCGCGTAACCTCCAGCAGTTACTTCAACCTCCGAGGGTTGACTCGCTGGTTCCTCGATATGCTTTGCTTCGCTTGTGCCTTAGTGTTTCGACACGACAGAGGCGCTTAACCACAATTGTTTCCAACAAATAGGTCGTACGGAACCCGGTTATTTGCGACGACAGTAACACAACTTCGCTTGAACCGTCCGTTATGACAAAAAAAATGCAACCGTCAAAATGGTTACACGCCCTAATTGAGGTGCGTCATGACCCAAACATTCTCTACTACCTTGCACCAGTGCGTTGCTTCTGACGGAGCGGCGCGTTAGTCGTTTGCTACGTTCGGTTGTTCCCCGGTAGTAATCAGCAAGTTAGATGATTATCTTTTCCTAATAGTACCATCTGTTCGTCTGTTCTTGCATGCGTCAGAGAGCCCGCATCTGCTGAAGTTTATGTCCAATCGCAACCTCAACCTCAACCGTTACCCTTCGCAAATAGTTTGTCACCATCAAAAGAACGCGACGGGAGACGCCGTTCAAGGACGATGCGAAAGGCAGCCGCCTGCTGCCGCTCCTGGACGACATCCTTTTGTTGCTTCTCACCCATGCGACCCACCCCTGCGATCGCCGCAGCGTTGCTCTCTCCTTCTCCCGCCTCCACCGCCTCTTGCGCCGGACGTCGCACTCGCTCCGCCTCGACTTCGTCTCACCTTACAAGTATCCGAACGTGCACAGATGGCTCAAATATTTCGACGATTTTTCGAGGGTATTTACACAGATAACTTCGCTGACCGTGGAGGTTCTGACGAGCCAGGGAAGTGCGCTGTTGGCGAGTATCAGTGCCGGCTGCCCTAAACAGGAAACATTGAAGATCATCGAGATGTGAGGGTTGTTCAATATGAACACTGCTGCATGGTTGAAGCTAACAAATCAATACCCGTGAGTGTGCGGATAATCTCATCCTTGCCCTTGACGCTTGACCCATGCCGTCCATTCAAGCTGTGAAAGAACGAGGGATGAGTGAAGTAGCAAGCAGGTGGGTACAAGTAGGAAAACCTAAAAGTGTTGTACCCCATATTGTCTACCCCACTACAGCCTACACAGACTATAGCATATGAGTTTGACACAAGCAAAGGTCATTCATTTCATCGCATGTTGAGACACACTCGCGTGGTCATTCAATAAACAGCGCATGGTCGAAGCTCGCAAAGGGATGCTTGTGGGCGTGCCGGTTCTCTCTTCCTCGTTGATTTTGACTCTTGCCTCATCTAATGACCTCCTTGTCAAATGTTGCATATATGTTTTGTAGATTTCTAGCCTATAGTAGGGTTCACATTAGGGGGTTACATGATTGTCTCGACACTTGACTTGTACCCCTTCCCTCCTACTACTCACACATTCCGCTATGCATCACTCTTGAGATGGTATCAGAGCCGTGTGGTCGCGGAAGAAGCACTGAGACGTGCCAGAGTCCAGCGTGAAGGACAGGGATGCCTCAGCCGGAGGTGCACCTGGTATGGTAGCTACACAAACACCTAGTGCAGCAACACAAGCACCTAGACTAAAAAGACAAAAATCTACACTACCAACGAGCAAGGATGCTCATCCAGGAACACACGAGCAAACAGATCCATAAGCATTATAGTCAACATCGGCATACAGAGCATACTGACGAGCCTTATCTATAGACAGTTCAAATACAAGAATCTTACGGGCTAGGAGCTGTACCCATCGCGGGGTGCGTCCCGCGTGACCTTGTCCCGTGAAGGCGTCGAGGCGGTAGAAGCATCGCGCTGCAGAGTGGTCACCGCGCCCGCAGACACAAGGATTGCCCGGACCCGTGAGGATCCAGTAGTCGCAGGGGCCGGAGTCGCGCCCAAGGGGGCGGGGCCCCTAGCTGAGAGAGCTGCTGCTGTGGCCAGTGCTCCCTAGTCCTCCATTTCCCCACTGCTGCGGGGGCCCTCAGTGCTGCTGTGGACCCCACAGCTGCGGGGGCCCCCATGGCTGAACCTGCTGCGGTACCTGCCACCGCTACTGTCCCTGCTGTAGCTGCTGCTGCTGTGACTCCTGCTGCTGGACTCTCGGACCACCACTCTTGAGACTCCTTTATATTGAGAGACACGAAAAAACAAAAGGTCATCCCTTTTATGGATAATCCATGGTCAAAAGCTCTCAAAGGGATTACTTTTTGCTTATTCTCTTTCTTCCTTCTTCCTTACTCCGGCCTCCTTCCTCATTCCTCCTTCCTTGTTCCTCCTTCCTCCTTCTTTGTTCCTCCTTCCTCCTTCCCCTTCCCTTCTTCCTTTCTTCCTTCCCCTTCCTCCTCATTTTCTGTCTTCCCCACTATTGGATATCTCTGGCTTTAGAGCCGCCTCAAAAGACCTCCCATCCTCTCCTCCCTCATGTTCACTCTCCCCCTGTCAGCCTCCTGGCATTTCTCGAGCTCGAACACCCCTTTGCCCATTGCCCAACTTTGGAGCCTGTGAGATGAGCCCGAAAATACTATTGAGGCGCCTCAGAAACCCATCGCCTAAATCGGGAGCGTTTGAGACGAGCCCGAAAAAAAACATCTCGCATTATCTCACCCCTCCCATCCTCTCCTCCCTCCCATTCTCTCCCCTCCCCCCATCAGCGTCCTGGCATCCCCCAAGCTCGATTCCCCGTTAGCCGGCCTTCCCCTCGTCCTCTTCCCCCTTCACCCCCTCCCCCCAAATCTCTCCCTCCCTTTCGTTCAAGCTTCTTTTCCATTCTTTCCCCCCTATTTTTAGCCTCTTGACATCTCTCGAGCTCGACTCTCCATTCGCCCATCGCCCCATCATATACTAAAATCCCACTTACAGCCCCCTCCCTCCGGTCCACGCCTTCCCTTCTCTTCACTCGCTTTTCTTCCCACCCGTTCTTTCCTCCCTCCTATCAGGCTCCTGACATCTCTCGAGCTGGACTCTCCATTCGCCCGTCGTCGCCCCAACATCTACCGCCATGCCACTCACAACCCCCTCCCTCCTCTCCATGCCTTCCCTTCCCTTCACTCCCTCTCTCTCTTCATCCATACCTCAAAATTAAAGCCACCCACTCGCCGCTCCTTCCTCACCTCCCTCACTCACTGCTCCTCCCTCACCTCCCTCACTCTCTGGAACCCCGCACCCCCCACTCTCTCCTCCCTCGCCTCCTCCTCCTCCTCTCTCACCCCCACCTTCAAATCCCTCACCCCCCACTCCGCAAAGCTCCAGTCTTTCCTCTCCTCCCTTTGCCGCTTCCCCACCCTCACCCCTCTCTCCTTCCTCTCCTACTCCATTGATCCCTTTGAGCTTCACACTCTCTCTTGCTCCCTCCACACTCTCACCCACCTTACCGTCCATGATTGTCCCTTAGGACGCGTCACAATTGCAACACCAGATGAGGATCTGGACCACACAACGAAATCGTGAGCATCGATCGCCATAGCCATATTTCAACCTGCGTGGACACGATCTCCTTGGAGGTTCCAATTTTGGCAGAGTTTTTAATGTTTCTAAGCGCTGTAAACTCTTGAAAAGGGTTTTTGGTGTGGTGTCGACAAAATATTGGACAATCTTATTGGGACTTGAGTTAACGCGAAATCTAACGAAAAAAGGGATACCCTACAATGCGACTTCGTGAAGCTACGGTAGACTCACACATCGATCCCTTGCAATATCGATGTTTCAATTATGACGCATCCTTAGTCTCCAGCCATGCTCTAGCCGCTCTAGTTCAGGCAAATCCTTCTCTCCCCTCCCTCTTCCTCCACGGCACCTCCTATCGCCTGTTCAGCTCCCAGGGCTTCCATTCCCTCCTCCACCTCTCCGCACCCCGCTTGAACGCTCTTGACCTCTCTAGGCTACCATCCTTTCGCCCGGGTATGCTTCCTCACTACAGTGGCCTTCATTCTCTCTCCTTAAAAGGAAAGCGGGAAACAGTCTCTGTGTAGAGGGAGAGGGATGGTGAGACTGGCACAGGGGAGGGAAGGGGTGGAGGAGGGAGGGAGAGGGGGAGGTGGAGGAAAGAGTGGTGCTTCAACTGGTGTTGTTTGAGAGCCTTGTAGGTATGCTGGTGCGTGTGGTGCAGAGGGGAGGAGAGGGAGGGGAGGGAGGAGAGGTAGGACGAGAGGAAGGAGGGGAGGGTGGAGAGGTAGGTATAGAGGATGTGAAGTGGGAGAGGCTAGCAAGGGAGAGGGTGCAAGAGGAGCTACACTTGATGCAGACGCTGTAGTAGGAGGGGGAGCAGAAAGGGCAGCGGCAGCAGAAGTAGCAGCACCACCACTTGCAGTTGACTCGAGGAACGGAAAAGGAATGGAGGAGTATGTGGACATTCGAACAGCAGCAGCGGCAGTACGAGCAGACCTAGTGGCAGCATGTACAGACTTATCCAATCTCTTTGAAGCAACCAGCAAGGCCTTCACAACCGGCCCTACTTCTGCCCGGTGGGCCCGCATACCCCACGGGCGAATACGCTCTATCCGAGATCAAATCCGCCTCAAATCAAATCAGATCTGCGATCTCGACGTGCAAGGCGCTGCGAGTGGGTGTATCGGAGAAAGACGCGGCGACAGCGAGAGAGGATGGGGTGATTGACGCGTTTGTTGCTGCCAGGACTGCAGGCGTGTTTATGGAGAGGGCTAGTATGGAAGGGGAGGGCGAAAGGTTCAGGGGAATGGCGCGACTAGAAGACTTTGATGGGATGCTGCCTGATGGAGACTCGCCTAGTGATGATGATGATGATGATGATGATGATGGTGGTGGTGGTGAAGGGAGTGACGGTGAGCGTGAGGGTGAGACTGGAGGGGGTGCGAGTGCGGCTGAGGCACGGTTGCAGGCTTTAAGTGAGATGGAGTCGCTGCTGCAGCAGTTTAATGAGCAGGTGCGTGTGGCCCTGGCGAGTATCAGAGACATGCGCCGGGCCCGGCGGACTGCTGACAACCGCCTTGTGGCTGTTGCTGCTGGTGATGGTGTTGGTGGTGGTGGTGGTGGTGCTGCTGCTGTTCGCCTTGCTGCTGGTGGTGCTGCTGATGCTGCTGCTGATGATGGTGATGGTGCTGTTGGTTGTGGTAATGGTGCTGTTGGTGGTGGTGCTGCTGCTGGTGGCAGCAGCAGCAGCAAGAGGAAGCAAAATGGCAGCTCAAAATCAGTCGACAACAGCAGAGTTGCACGGGTTAGCAGAAGCATGGCAGGCAAATCAAATGGCAGTGGCAGCACCAAAAAGAGCATCGCTGAAATTCCCGTGGAGGTGATATGTCCTCCCTTACACTCCTTAACCCTCCAGGATTTTCACTTCACCCGCACCACTCCCGAGCCTACATGGCTGCCTCCCTCCCTTCCCTCTGCATCACCTCTTATGCGCCTCGCTTCCGCTCGCTCAGCCCCCTCTCCACTTGCCTCTTCTCCCTCCTTGTCCCGCTCCTCTTCCCGCCTCACTCCTGCTATCGTGTCAACCATTTCAAGCCTGAGCGCGCAGCCACAGTTGTTTGAATCCGTGGCACTCGCTGCTGTTTTCGGGCGGCTGAAGCGCCTCTCTCTGGTGTCGTGCTTCTGTCTGAAGGAGGAGCAGCTGGTGATGCTACTGCATGTGTGCCCCCTGTTGTTGGCTCTAACAGTTGAACGCAACGAGGGCTTTTCGGACCGGGTGGTCGCAAGAATAAATTTGCAGATGCTCACGCATCTGACTAAGCTCGAGTGTGATGCGATCAGTGCAGATGGGATTGGAGGGCTGCTGGGAAGCTTCCCGAAGTTGCATGATTTGAAGGTGAATGCAAGAAAAGTTGGCGAAAGGGCTCGTAGGGAGTTGCTTCGTGCGGGTGTGGTTCTGAGTAATGGGCGACAGAGTGGAGGGGTGAAGCATGTGTATCTCTTATGCTGTATTTTATCTGGAGTCAGTTGAAAGTGGAATGGAATTATTTCCTTATATATTGGATGGAGGTGCAGCGTGACAGCGGGAGTGAAAATTCGTATGAAGGTATGTGTTGTGTGTCTCCAATCCCAATTTGAATGAGAGACCTCTTGATGAAAGACGGTATCTGTTCTGAGTTGTAAAAGAGAGTACGCAGGTAAAGGAATAACGAGACTGTGATTAACTGATATGAGAATACAATGAAGGCACACACTAATGTAGGGGTTGGCCTAGCCAGGAGGAAACCTCGGACGAGCGAGGTTGGGGTGCAGGTTTGGCGATGGGAAATGCCGAAGGCGAGGCGAGGAGCCTCGGCAGCGTTGAAATCGTCCGAACGTGCAAAGTTCGAAAATCGGGCTGTACGCGTAGCAGTCAACCCCGATAAGGAATTCGGGAAAATTCCTTACACTACCCCCCCCCTTAAGAAAGGCGGTCAATATCCGAAACACCCTTGCGCGCCAAGTAATCACGAACAAGTGACGAGGCGTCGAGTGAGTCAGAATGCACCCACGTGTCATCTTCACTGGTGCGGTCAGTCCAACGGATGAGGAAGTCCACGTGGCGACCAGCTGCGTCAAGGCGAACCCGGTGTGCCAAAATCTTTGATGGTGCAAGAGTCGGCTCCGAGACAGGTCGTGTAGTTGGGGCAGCTTGTTGCCGCGCGATGTCAGTCGTGGCTGGCACGAACTTGCGAAGCAGGCTGACGTGGAAGGCGTCATGAATGCGCCAGTCGTCGGGTAGCAGCAGCTTCGCGGTGACAGGTGTCACCATCTTGATAATCTTGAATGGTCCGCAAAATCGTGGCCGTAGTTTCGACAGGCCCGGCATGTGCAGATTTTTTGTGTCGAGTAGCACTAGATGCCCAGTGGTCAAGACGAGTTCCCGGCGTAGAAGGTCGGTGTATTTCCGGGAGGTGATATTCGCCTTGCGAATTGCATCTGCGGCTTTTTCTCGGACTTCCTGAAGCTCTGTCACAAAAGTCTGTGACCTCGGGACCGGGTTGTCGAGAGTAGTTGCCGTAGGGACCGTCGGATCCATCCCGTAATTCAAGAAGAACGGGGAGTGATTAGTCGTACTTGACGGTGCGTTGTTGAAGGCGAACTCCAACATTGCGAGCGAGTCTTCCCAGCGGGCAGGGTCGGGGCAGTTTGTCCTGATAAGCTGCTCCATGGTTTGGTTGGTTCGCTCGGTCTGGCCGTCCGTCTGTGGGTGATATGCCAATGAGAACTGTAGCTTCGTGCCGTACTGCGCCCATGTCTCCTTCCAGAATTTTGATGTAAACTTCGGGTCTCGGTCGCTGATGATCGCCGAAGGGATGCAATGCAGTGGCACGACCGTTGAGATGAAGAGACGCGCAGTTTCTTCGGCTGTGATTGTCGTTCGGCATGGGTCGAAGTGCGCCATTTTCGTGAAGCAATCGACGATGACGAGTACAGCGTCGTTGTCGGACGGCCCAACTGGCATCCCCGTGACAAAATCCATTGTCATTTGCTGCCACGGTCGTTCGGGTGGCTTGAGGGGTTGTAGCAGCCCAGCTGGTCGTTGACGTGTCAATTTCATGGCTTCGCACACCCTGCATGAGGACACATATCGCTGCACGTCGTTAGAGGAATCAGGCCAGTAATATTGACGGTGCAGTAATTTCTGGGTTTTATCAACCCCGAAGTGTCCGGAGAAGTTCGAATCGTGGACCTCTTGGATAAGGAGTTCACGCAGTAGCCTGTAAGCGGGAACCCAAATCCGGTCCGTTCCGGCTTTTAGGTAATAATCCCCTTTCTGCGTCGTGGCCTGCTGATGATTCGAAGAACGGGCTCGTAGTGTAGCCGTGGGTGGATAGTCCGGTAAGTAGCGGGTTCGAATGGGTGATGAGTACTGCAGCGGATCGTACTGGCGGTCGGGTCAGGGCGTCGGCGATGTTATTCGCCCCATCCTTGTACGTGATGCGGTAGGTGAAGTGGCTCTCCATGTAGTCCAGCCACCGAATTTTTCGCGGGTTGAGGTTGGGCTGGGCTCGCAGGTACTGTACGGACTTGTGGTCCGTGTGAACAGTGACGTCGGCGCCCACCAAGTAGTAGCGCCACAGTTTGAACGCGTGTATATTGGCGAGCATCTCCTTGTCGTGGATCGGGTAGTTGCGTTCGGCTGCCTGCAGCTTGCGTGATTCGTAGGCGATCGGCTGCAACCCGTTCCCGAAGTCTTGGAGTAGCACAGCTCCGAGGCGAAATCTGAGGCGTCGGTGACGACTTCGAACGGCTTCGATGGGTCGGCGATGCGCAGTATAGGAGGGGAAACGAGAAAATTCTTGAGTTCCTGGAAAGCCGCTTCTGCCTCCTCCCCCCACACAAAATTCCTGGCCTTGTGCAGCAGGTCGGTCAGCGGGCCAGTTATCCCCGCCATATTCGGGATAAACCGACGGACGTAATTCACGAATCCGAGGAAACTCTGAAGTTCCGTGACATTCGTCGGGGACCTCCACTCCTGTATGGTCTTGATTTTCGCCGGGTCGATTTTAATGCCGTCGCGCGAGATGACGTGCCCCAAAAACTCCAACTCCTGCTTAAACAACTCGCACTTAGAGCCCTTGGTGATGATTCGGTTCTCTTGAAGCCGCTTAAACACTGCATCCAGGTCGCGGAGATGTTGTTCCCTTGTCTTTCTAAAAATCAGGATATCGTCCAAGTAGACGATGACACATCGGTCTAGAAGATCCCGAAATACCCTGTTCATGGTGAGTTGAAATGTCGAAGGCGCGTTCGTGAGGCCGAAAGGCATCACTGTAAATTCGTAACTCCCGTAGCGTGTGCGAAACGCAGTCTTGTGACAGTCGTCGGCGAAGACTCGAATCTGGTGGTAACCCCCACGTAAGTCAATCTTTGAGAAATAGCGAGCGCCGCGAAGTTGGTCGAAGAGGTCGTCGGTGCGTGGGATTGGGTAGCGAGACTTGATGGTGACCCGGTTCAGCGCGCGATAGTCGACGCACATACGAAGCCCGCCGTCTTTCTTCGGAGTGAATTGGATCGGTGCTGCGAAGGGAGATGTGCTGGCCCGAATGAATCCTTTCTCCAACAGTGCGTAGATTTGACTTCGCAGCTCCTCGAGTTCCGACTGGGTCAACCGCCACTGTGTCCGAACAGTCGGCTGCGCGCCAGGTTCCAGCTGGATTTTGTGGTCCTCAGGTCTCTCGGGTGGCAGTCCAGGTGGCAGATCGTCGGGGAAAATGTCGGGGTACCTCCGAATCAGCTCCGCTAAATCCGGTGGTACAGCTGCACACAGCTTCTCGATGTCCTTTCCGTCGGTGTCAACTGCCAACTCGCGTAAGCAAACAGCGAAGAGCTGCGCGCCCCTGTTGGAGTGGCGAGCTATAGTGATGGCCTTGACGCATAGGGCTTGGATGTAGTCAGGTGTCCATGCAGGCAACCTAATTTGCCCCTCGTGCTTGTTGATGCTGCACGATCCCGTTGTCCAGTCGATGACGGGGTTGTGTCGTCGCAGCCAATCACGTCCCAGCAGCACGTCGCAACCGCCCAATGTTGTCGCAAGAAACTTCACGCTGAAGCCGAAATCGTCGCCGCATTCGATCCTGACCGTCCATGTTTCTTCCGTTATCGCCAGAGGCGTCCCATCCGCGAGGCGAGCGTCAATTTCGGGCAGACACCTGTCAAGTTGCAGCTTGCATTTTTTTGCGCTCGCCAAATTGAAGAGGCTATGGCTGGCCCCCCCATCGACGAACATTTTCAAGTTATTTTTTAACACCTTGCCAGCGACCAGCACAGGGTGATCCACATGTGTATCCCCGCTATTCGGCCGAGTGCGGTCGATTGCATGAATTGGAACCACGACTCGGTGGGGATGGTGGGGTTCGGGCGACGAAGCACAGTCAGTAAAGGGCCCGCTAATTACTGACTCTTCCCATTTCCCTGCTCCTTCCTGTCGTTCCCCATCAGCGGAGTTTTCTCGTGGCAGTCTTTCATGTAGTGACCCGAATTCCCACACCGGTAACACGGTCCTTTAGGAGGGCGGTCGGGTGTATGGACGGCGTTGATCGTGGCCCGATGGGTCTGGCCACGAAAACGGTTTCCATCCCTGGAAGCTGCTCTCGCGTACTGCATCAGCACATCTGTTGACTCCGCCAGCCGTACTGCTTCAAGGAATGATGTCGGGCGGCCCCTGCGAACCTCGTACTGTGTCTCGTATTTGAGGCCGCTGATATACTTATCCAACCGCTCTGCTTCCGACATGTCATCAACTTGGTCGGCGAGGCCCATAAATGATGCCGTGTAGTCTTGGACTGAAGCCATCTGCGACCATGCACGCAGCTTCATGCGAGCTTGCTCCGAGGCGGATACGTGCTCGAAGCGATCTCGTAAGGTTGCGCCCCACTCCTTCCACGTGCGTATCGTGGTCACTCCGAAGATTGATTGTGCCACTTGATTAGTCACTGTTGCGGTCCTGTCTGCCGCATGCGTCACACCTGTCGGCGTCCCCGTTTCCAAGGTTCGGCGCCACCACTCAAGCGCTGCACCTCGAAGAAGCGAAACCGCGTAATTAATACGCGTGACGTCGTCATTAACTCCTGCTGTAGTGAAGAAGACCTCGACCCCAAATAGCCACCCCTTCACTGTTACTGTCTTGTCTGTAGGATTAAATGGGGGCGGGTTGACGGGCTTGATCTTGATCGTCGTTACTGCAACTTGCGCTGCTGCCGCTCGCTGCCTGTCCTCCTCTTCGAAGTCACGTGTGTGAGCGCGTCCAAGGGATTGCTCACCGCTTGACTGTTGCCCTTGCCTTCGTCCTCGGGCGACACCTGACGCGCTTCACCTCGCGCCTGGCGCAGCTCGGCGTTTTCTTCACGCAGTGTTGTCACTTCCGCCATTAACGACTTCATGGTCTCCTGCATTTCTGCCACTTGCGCCATCATCTTGTTAACCGCCTCCTGGTCCATGTGCCTAGCGCTACGTCTGGTGGGCAGTCGGGTATCCGTGGCCTTCAGGCAAGTGAAAACACGAACTATCGGAGTCGGGCAGGATTGAATTAACAATCCCTGCGGCCAATCGTCGTGTAGTCACTAAACCAGCCACACCCTATGCCACCAAACTACCCTCGGAAAAGCGGGGTGAACTAGGAAAGTAGCTCTGATACCAGGTGTTATGAGTTGTAAAAGAGAGTACGCAGGTAAACGAATAACGAGACTGTTATTAACTGATCTGAGAATACAATGAAGGCACAGACTAATGTAGGGGTTGGCCTAACTAGGAGGAAACCTCGGACGAGCGAGGTTGGGGTGCAGGTTTGGCGATGGGAAATGCCGAAGGCGATGCGAGGAGCCTCGGCAGCGTTGAAATCGGCCGAACGTGCAAAGTCCGAAAATCGGGCTGTACGCGTAGCAGTCAACCCCGATAAGGAATTCGGGAAGATTCCTTACAGTATGCAGTATATGCACCATAAGGTTACGAGGAGTGTAGTTTTTTTAATGCCAGGTTGCATCCTTGGGCCATGGCAGACTGATGAAAAGTCATCTGTCGTGGCTGTGGCTTCGGCTGGCGTGTCACTTTCGAATCAACCGCGTCAGCGATTGGGTCCAAAATGCATGGCGAACTTCGTCGAATCGATTGCTTTGGTGTCGCATGCTCATAGGGAACTCCAGTCCCGTGCCTCGTCAGTCATCTCGCTGACCTGGATTGGCTGAAATCAAGGCTGCCAATGTCGGTGCGCGTGCGCATACCCGCATTGGCAGACCCATAATTTGGTTGGCGCGCATGGAAAGATGCCAAGGCGCATCTTCAAGAACGCCCGCCCTTGCCCCACTCCCACTCAACTTTCCCCAACCACGCACATCAACAAAAACAACCAGCGCACCTCACGCCACGCCACTTGCGCAACCTCGAGCAATTCCGCACCGCGCGAGAACTGTATCATTGCATTCAATTTCAAACCGCATTGGCCGCAATTTCCGAACTGTATCATGGCATTCCAAGCATCTGGCGAATGGGAATCCTCGCAACCAGTTCACGGGCGAGGTGCCTCGTACGGTTGGTATGGACGCATCAAGTCCACATTTTATCCAATCCGAAGCAAGCGACTCAACGAAGCCTGGATTCCGGGCAGGATTCCTCTACCTGGAATTTGGATGACGCAACGTTATCCACATTTTCTGCCCGCGTCATGGAGTGCTGAGAATCCACCCGTCTCCGAAGCACAAGTGTCATCACCAGCGTGTCATGTCAATCAGAATCAGGGAGGATTCCTCAGGTACGGTATCAACGCGCATGCACTTTGGTGCTGCTCAGCGTGGTGGAATCTTGAACCGTTTTCGGTTGGTCTCTCTGTCTCCCTCAGCGGCAGCCATGAATTTTACCGCTGGTCAATGTCTGTCTGACACAACATAACCCGCAAAAGGTTCCCTGACTTCCTCTTCTCCACACACACAGCGCAGCACATACAGAAGAGCCAACTTGTGTGGTCCTGACGTTTCTGAATCAGAACCTTTCAATGTCAGCATCCCCCATTCCGTGAGCAATTTCCTCCAGGATATTCGTCCTAGCAGATGCTTCACCTCAGTTGCACTCGTCACTCAATCTTGCACAACCTTAGTTGAAATAAAGTGGAGTTTGCTGGCACTTGCATCTACGAAACTACAATTTCTGGAATTTCCTCCCAGCGTGCTCCTAAGACAGCCTCAGAGTACGAGAGCTCGCATAGCAACAACCCCGTAGTCAACTTTTTGCTTCAAACAGAGCACGAAACACGCATCGCCGGACCAAGTTTCACTCAGCTACTATGTCTGGTCTCCTTGACATTCTTGCCTTGGGTACCACTACATCCCTTTGTCAGACCAAAATTCAATCTTCTCTCGGACATGTCTCCCTTAGCAATAGGTTCCTTCCTCCTTTGACTAATATCACTGACACCTCACTCGCGAAGAATTCGACCGACCATACTCAACCTTCAACGATGGAAGCAGCTTTCGTCGACACTAGGAAGACTGCCGTTTATGAACCCACAACGGAGGCATCAGGATTCAGCAGCACGGGTAATTCCACGTGGGACAGTGCAGCTGGCCTTCAATTGATACGCCACGTCAGCAGCAACATCCCGTGCAGCAGCTGCAGCAGGTTTGTACTATCAAACCAGCACACAAACCCAAAGCTGCTGACATACTTTTCAGTATCAGTCATTCCCGACGCGTGCTACAGCTATGCGCCCTTCCTAAATCTGTCTGTCAGCTATCTCGCATATGTCATTCTCTAATTTCTTCCGTAATTCCCGAATCTCGCTCCCGTGTCACAGCTCGCAGAGCGACTCTTCGTGCGACTCGTTTTGCCTCGACGAAATGGTCTCCGAGTTTATGGAGGAAGATAGCGACGCTGGAGACGCTGGCGACGGTTATGACTGTCGCACGAACAGTTTCCATGCTTCTCAGGCGAGGTCTGCCAGGAAATCCGATGTGGAACCTGCAGAAGCGTTGGCGGCGCGAGACGGCTCACAACGACCATCAATAACCCGAGATGGCGAAAATGACAGTGGTGGGCGTGACTCGCCGAGATGCGTCGGCGAAAAACGGGACAACCACGTGTACGACGCTCCTGCTGACGCGTGGCGGTGTCAATTCTGCGGAGGGGCTCAGTGTGACGGTGTGGACTGCCAGCGGCATACGAGTTACAATCACCACGGCGTTTATGTGAATCAGCAACGGACAGCAAACAGTTCATGCAGCGAGATTGAACAGCTCGCATCCATGATTGAGGTCAGTGGTGCCTAGCTGGTCCTGATGCGTCTTAGAAAGTATACACAAGGTCACTGAGTCTGGTTGTCCTTTCCGAATTAGATTCAAGTATGGCTTTTCAGGTAGTCGACGCCTGTTTTCTAATTTCTGTTGTCGTTTCTGTGTGTCTCTCCATTTCCCTGTTTTTTCTTTCGCGTTTCCTTTTTGTTACAGCCACTCAGCTGCTGCGAGACTCCAGAGGAATATGCAGTGCTTGATGTTGTGACTTCTGCCATGGAGCACACAGTGACCTCGTCTGCTGATCTCCGCACAAGCGGCAGCAGCAGCAGCAGTAGAATACGCAATACTGTGGTGCAGCAGTTGCGGGGTCGGGGATATGATGCTGCTGTGTGTTATTCTCAGTGGGACTACTCCAATGGCATCCCTGATGGTAAGAACTGAGTCGACCTTCCCACAGTATTCAATACATCCTGGTCAATTTCCACCCCTAATCAATACTTCCCACCATCCTGGTCAATTCCCCTCAACCTAGCTGCAAGTCCTCTCTTCGTCGCCTTTCACACCTGACATTTGCCAATCGTCCTCACACTACCTTTCCCTCCCTTGTCGTTTGTCGTATCTGCTGGCAGGCTCGCATGAGTACTGTGACGTCATCCTTCATCCATCCACCCCACATCGTCCACCTGAGAGGCTCATTGTCGACCTCGAATTTCGGGCACAGTTCCAAGTCGCTCGTCCGACACCTCAGTACAGTTACATCTTGCAGCTGGCCCCGGTTTCTTTCGTCGGCTGCCCGGACCGGTTACACCGTCTGGTGGAAATTTTGTCCGAGGCAATGCGGCTGTCTCTGCATGCCCAGGGCATGCACGTTCCACCCTGGCGCCGGCACCCATACCTCTCTGCCAAGTGGACAGCCATTTACTCGCGCCAAGTCAGCACTTCTGCAGATTTTTCAGGGGATTCTGAACCATCTGCTGCTGTTGCTGCAGTCTCTGCTTCTGCCAATACATCAGCTGCTACGCCTGGTCCTGCTGTAGCCACTGCACCCAACCACATGCAGATTCCAGTACAACTGAATCCAAGGCACATGGGCTTCACTCGTGTACTCGATCATACCCGGCAGCACAGGCCAAGAGCTGCTGTGGTGGGCCTGCTGGCGAGAGGAATGAAAGAGCTGGCTCTGCACCGCCAGGCAGTGGTTTGAGGCTTCACCACGTAACCTCAAAGGCTGTCACGTCTTCAAGTTCCACCCATGGAACCTCAAAGGCAGTCACCGCCACGCAGATTTTTGAAAATTCACCTGAAGCGGACAGTCGCCATGCAAGGCAGAAGATGGCCTGCGCATATAGCATGACATAGATTGCTCCAGTCTCACCTGCCCGGAGTGAGAGCTGATGCGTGCAGTTTTATCTTTGAAGGCCACTGAGGCTTCTATACAGAGCTGCGCGGACAGGGTGCCAACTGCGGTTGGGCCTGTCGTGCACTATCCAATTTTGATACCGGCTTCGATAATTCAAATTTGTATCACTGTTCATAAACATGTACCAGCATCTGTTGTTCTCTACCTCTTCAAATGATTCAATTCTCACCCCTTGAAAGAGACGATCTATGTTCATTCGCAATGAAGAGGGGGTAGGGTGTTTGATCATATATATAATTATAATAAAATTGACAAACAAACTTAGGGTCATCCATGGACAGGCATCATGAGGCTCCTGTACATCACCCACCCACCTTCTCTTCCCGCTACGGTAAAATTAGAGGAGAAGAGCTGTTGAGCGGGGGTGAAGCTAAGAGCACTGGAGGAGTCTCATGATGGCTGTCCACGAGGAGGAAGCATCCTAAACTACACAGTAGCGAATTGAAGTGGGAAAATGAGAGCTGCTGTGCTGCTGCTGCTCTGCTGGTCCTGATCCTAGACCAGGCGTTACTGCTGCTACGGAAGATTCATGCTTTGATGAATCAAAAGGTTTCCCCCCAGAGGCCGGAGACGTTCTCGAGGATCTCAAAATCGCCCAGGTCGCAGACAGAGGGCGACATTGTCGCAGGGGTCGCTAGGACGCCGCAGAAGCTGTCGCTGAAAAGCTCCTCAATGAGGGAGAGCGCGGACGGGACGTCGGAAGCGGATAATTTCTCGTTATCAACCACTCCGTTAGTACTAATAGCCGCTGCGTCCGACTGCTTCTGCAGATAAATCTCGCAATCAGCGCTCGTTGACGCGGAAGTCTCACAATTGGGAAGACGGCAAGTCTCGTCATGGCCGTTCGGCGTCACTTCCAGCGCGAGCGGCGCGAAAGGGCATTCAGACACCACCACGTTCTGCCCGACAACCTCCAAACACGCCATGTCGCCGCGGAACGCGGACAAGTCAACGGTCGCATCGCCTTCGCCGCTGTTGGCTCGCGCAACTTTAATGAGCGCCTCGGCGATGCTCTTCGCGACGGTCACGGGACGTGGGGCCGCGTCGGGAGCGTTGAGAGGGACCGTCGAGGAAGCTTCGCCGAAGATCATCCGCGCCGCCATGTCGTATACGCGCACCGCTTCCTCCGCCGTCGCGTAGGAGCCCAGCCACACGCGCGTCTTGGTGCGCGGGCAGCGGATCTCCGTCACCCACCGCCCCCACTTGCGCTGCCGCACGCCCTTGAGGCGGCGGGGGAGCGCGGGGAAAGCGGCGGGGGCAGCGACGGGCGCGGGAGACGAGGGGTGAGCGGGGGAGCACGCGAGTGCGGATGAGTAACCCGGGGAGGAGAGCGGGGAGATCGGCGGAGAGGCAAGCGAAGAGGTTGTTTGAGGAGACGCGGTCAACGCGGTCAACATGGTCGGCTGGAACTCGCCGTCGAAGGTGGAAAGGACTGAATTGGGAGTAACGGAGGGCGAAGATGAAACGCCATTGAAACTAGTCTCGGAAATGCGAGCGCGCTTCTCCGGGCTGTTGGTAAGGAAAGGCGGTAATGTTGAGTCCATAAAGGTAGACGTCTTGCTATCGAGTTTGCGCTTCAGCGTTGTGGCGTCCGGGAAAAGAAGGGAGTGAGCCCACGGAGTAACGAAGCTGGGAAAGGCGGGAAATTCCATCTTATAACGTGCCGAATCAACTATAGCTAGGCTGTTTGCTACCGCTGTGGTTTTGCCCTGAAACGGTAAGTTCGTTGAGTTCGTTGGTGGTAGAGGAGGAAGTGGGAATTGTGAGTTCGTTTTGGAAAAGCTGATGGCTGGAATTGAAAATGTTCGTTCCTTCATGCTGGTGCTCGTTGGGGTTGGGGAGAGTACGCGGAAGAAGTGACCGTCATCGCGGAAGAGGAAAGGCTCCGCGGACGGAAGGAAGCTGGGTGGCTGTGCGTTGACGAAGCTTCGTTTGACTGGCGAAACTGTTGTGAGGCAGCACGAAACGTAGCGAAGGCAGACGAAGCCAGTCGAACGCGAGACGACGGAGGCAATGGGAGGTGGCGGAAGTGAAAGCGGAGGTTCGATTGGGGGAGGACAGGGGAAGAATGAACAAGGGACGCACAAATTCAAATGCGGCTCGTAATTCTGAATGCACGCCTCGGGTGTGAACTGCGCGCTCCGCGGGTGAATTGATCCCAACATTTGTTGGGAACGCTGGAGGCCAAAAAAATAGGTTTTGTCGTTACGCTAAAAATCAGAACCTTCACCGCCCCGCCCTTACGTAAAAATCTTCCCTAGTGAGTCACTTGGGACTGGTAAGGTATGTGCTGGTGTGCCTCAAATATCACAAATGGTTTAGAAATGTATTCACTAAATACATCACTACAATGTGGAAGCTCGCGTCCCATTTTAAAATAGCAGCTCCTCTCATGCATTCTGATCTCATGTTAATAAGTCAATGGAGGCAATCAAACCTAAGTCAGTTTGAACGTATACATTAACAATTTCGAATGCAAGAGATTTGCATTATTGTGTTGAGACTGCATATTGTAAGTAGATATTCATACCCACAATAGCTGGCCATTGTGTCCATGGCAGTATATGTGAATTCTTCCTGGCCATCCTAAACTGCATTTCGAATTGCAAGCAAAAGGTGCTCACAGGAACCTATAGCAAATGGACCATGTGCAACGGCAGAACAATTTTATTATCAACAATAAGGAGAATACACACACGGATATACATAACAATCACCCATGGACAGGCATCATGAGGCTCCTGTACGCCTCCAACACAGCTTCCCATTCCCGATAAAGAAAAAATAGTGAAGGGAGCTGTAGAAGGTGGAGCTAAGAGCACTGGAGGAGGCTCATGATGGCTGTCCACGAGGAGCAAGCGACCCACTAATGGGTAAACACAGGTGCGGCTGTTCCCAGTAAAGCTGGGAGCTCGAGGTGTGCTGCTGCTGGCGCTGGAGATGGCGTTGCTGATGCCGGAAAGACTTTCCTGCCAAGGTCAGTCAGAACATTTCTTCCCAGAGGCTAGATACGTTCTCCAGGCTCTCAAAATCGCCCAGGTCGCAGACCGAGGGCGACATCGCTGAAGGGGTCGCCAGGATATCGCAGAAGCTGTTGTCGAAGAGCTCGTCAATAAGGGATAGCGGAGATGGGGCCGTGGGAGCAGATGATTTCTCGTTATAAGCCATATTGCTAGTTGTAACCGCCTCCGACTGCTCATGCTGAATCTCTGAATAAGCGGCGTTCGTTGACGCGGCAGATTGACATTTCGAGAAACGGCAAGTCTCGCCTTGAGCGCTCGGTGCGACTGTGAGCGCGAGCGGCGCGAAAGGGCATTCAGACACCACCACGTTCTGCCCGACAACCTCCAGACACGCCATATCTCCGCGAAACGCGGACAAGTCAACGGTCGCATCGCCGTTCCCGCTGCTGGCTCGCGCAACCTTGATTAGCGCCTCGGCGATGCTCTTCGCAACGGTTACGGGACGCGGGGCCACGTCGGGTTCGTTGAGTGTGACCTTCGAGGCAACTTCGCCGAAGATCATCCGCGCCGCCATGTCGTATACGCGCACCGCTTCCTCCGCCGTCGCGTAGGAGCCCAGCCACACGCGCATCTTGGTGCGCGGGCAGCGGATTTCCGTCACCCACCGCCCCCACTTGCGCTGCCGCACGCCCTTGAGGCGCCGGGGGAGCGCGAGGGGGGTCGCGGCAGGGGAAGCAGGGGTCGCGGGGGATGCGCGGGGAGAGAAGGAAGAGGTGAGAGCGGATGTGGCTGTCCCGGAGGAGAGGGGGGATATCGGCGGAGAGGTGAGGGGAGAGCTTGTTGGGGAAGACGGGGTTAGCGGAGGCAAGGCTTGGAACTCCCCGTCGAAGGCGGAAAAGACTGAACTGGGAGTGGCGGAGGGCGAATACTTCACGCCAGAAAAGCTAGTCTCGGGAATGCGGAGGCGCTTCTGTGGGCTGGCGAGGAAAGGTGGTAACATGGAGTCGAGAATGGTGGACGTTTCGCTATCCGCTTTGCGCTTGAGGGTTGTGGCGTCCGGAAAGAGAAGGGAGTGAGCCCACGGAGTGACGAAGCTGGGATAGGCGGGGAAATCCATATGCTAACGTACTGAACCAAACTAATCACAGTTGTTGCGCAGTAGTCTCTAAGAATCCTAGAGTAATCGCTGCTGCAGAGAGTTTCTCTTCAAATTAGGCTATCGCGAGTAGTAAATAGGCGAGCAATGCGAATTGGATTGGTTTTTTTGGAAAAGCTGATGGCTCAAATGAAGAATGCTCGCCGCTTTTTATATGTGTTCGTTGGGTCGTTGGGGGGGGGGAAGGCACGCGCAGCGAGTGACTGTCACTGCGGAAGGGGCAGGGCTCTGTGGGGGGAAGGCTGAGCGTGGATGCGCGTACGCGAAGATGCAGTGATTGGCGAAATCGAGTGCGAGGCGAGGCGAGGCATGGCGAGGATAAACGAGACCAGGCGAGACGGTGGAGGCGATGGCGGTGGGGGGAAAGTTCGAATGTTACCTGTTTCTACGCGGCTCGACATGAAATGCGCGCCTTGGTTTGTGAAATGCGCGCTCCGCGGGTAATTTTCAGAACGGACAAAATTTGTTATTGTCGTCTAGCGAGAAATCCAACGATTGGCCACACATTCTGGCGGTAACTAGAAGTTTCGTGCATTTTCGAACTTCCGTTTTTCGGGAGCCCCTGTTTACTGCACCTCTATATCGCTTTGTATGGTGTTAGGGTGAACTTCACTATGAGACATATCCTTCATTTTTCGAAAGATTAATGACAACAGCATTTTTGTGTCAACATTTTCGAATTATGATGTCAATACGCAGTAAAAGAGTCAACCAATCAAGGGCTTGACGTTTGAGTTTGTGCCAGGGTAGAAGACCGTGCGGATTGCATCGTTGATTACACGGACCATGATAAGTTGCAGTTCCGAGGCCTTCTGCTTGAGCAAGCGGGAGTGGTATGACAACGGAGCAACACCGATACCGTATATGTTTGTAAAAACGTTTTTCCAGCATATGACACATGAGTGTAATATATTACGGCAGAAACCACATGCTTGGAATGAGCGAAGCATCATTGCAGCAAAACTCACTGTAGCAGGTTGACTTACCCCTTGCGGTGGGTCGGCAAGAATTGGCGGTACTTGCCCAGGCTGTGTGTAGTCTCTCTTGTCAAATCGCCACACTACCTTGTCAGCTTCATCCTATGGAAGAAAGGGGAAGGGGAAATGGTGGAAGGGGGAGCAAGAAGAGTAGAAAGAAAATGAGCGGATTGAGAAATCAATGCCACTTAGCCGGGGGGGATATTTTACTGTTGTCAGACCGCCTGCCTACCACTTCAGCTCTGTACTAGGAAAAGAGAGAAGTGAGGGTGAGCGAAAGGAGAGAACAAAGAGCAGAAAGAGAGCAGAGCCAGCAATTGTTACGCCTGCCTACTCGCGCTTGATACTTCTTAATTCCTAAAACTGTTCCTCACACAGCACGTCTTTCTGGCGGCATTGAGCTGACAACAGGATAGGAACCCTCTCTGCGATTTTCAGGATAATCACCACAGGACATAAGAATGACATTTGAAATGTTCTGTACCTTCAAAGGCCGCAGCCCCATTTGTGTCAACTACAGTTTCTTGAGGTGGAGGTGTGTGGAGCATGATTTCGAGAGAAAAAAAGGTTCTAAGCAGAGCGACATAAACTTGTATTGACATGGAAAATAATGAATGGAATGTACCTTGAACTCGTATCCCCAAGTGTAATGAATGATGGCTGCATCACCCAATACAGAGTCGGCTGGAGGCTGTAGGAGAGGGAGGAGAGAGAAAGGGAATGGAGGGATGCACAACAGCAGGGGGGAGAATGCAGAGGCACATGGGGAGAACTTAGGATCCCACGTGTTATGGATGGTACTGATAACTATTGAGTCGGCTCAGAAACATGGGCGGAACTTTCAATCCCACATGTTATAGATGGTGGCTGCATCAACCAGCACGGAGTCTGGTGGAGACTGGGAAGGAAGGGATGGGAGTACTGCCATGCCATGCCATGCCACCCCATGCCATGTCACGCCACGCCACGCCATGCCATGCCATGCCATGCCATGCCATGCCATGCCATGCACATTGCACCCACCTGCACCATGATGGCAAGTGGCACCAGAGGCAGGTCGATGGGCATGTTGCCACCATGCAGCGTCATGCCACCACACCATGCACAGTCCCCACTCACCTGCACCAAAGCCCATCCATCTGAACCACATCCCACCTACCTGCACCATAATAGCATGTGGCACGAGGGGCAGGTCGATGGGCATGTTGCCGAGAGCAGCAGCAATGGAAAAAGCATACATCTCTCGCACCCACCTGTGGTGGTGGGGGGAGAGGGGAGAAACGGGGAGACGGGAGGGAGGAAAAGGAGGAAGTGGGCTGTATGACAGTTACACAGGGAGAGCAAGGGAGATGGAGAATGCATACATCTCGCGCACCCACCTGTGATATGGGTAGGGAGGGGAAGGGGGTGTGGTGTTGGGGGGGGAAAGACAGGGATGCAGGAAGCTGTGGGGGGGGGGGGGTGCAGTGGGATGGGAGGCAGGCCCAGGAGACACCCCGTGGGGGCAAACACAGGAGAGCACGTTGTCGGGAGAAGCAAGATGTCAACCCTCTTCGTCCTTCTCGAACCACTCTGTGATGTCAACCCTCTTTGTCCTTCTCGAACCACTCTGTGATGTCAACCCTCTTCGTCCTTCTCGAACCACTCTGTGATGTCAACCCTCTTTGTCCTTCTCGAACCACTCTGTGATGTCAACCCTCTTTGTCCTTCTCGAACCACACTGGGATGTCAACCCTCTTTGTCCTTCTCGAACCACACTGGGATGTCAACCCTCTTCGTCCTTCTCGAACCACACTGTGATGTCAACCCTCTTTGTCCTTCTCGAACCACACTGGGATGTCAACCCTCTTTGTCCTTCTCGAACCACACTGTGATGTCAACCCTCTTTGTCCTTCTCGAACCACACTGGGATGTCAACCCTCTTTGTCATTCTCGAACCACACTGTGATGTCAACCCTCTTTGTCATTCTCGAACCACACTGGGATGTCAACCCTCTTTGTCCTTCTCGAACCACACTGGGATGTCAACCCTCTTTGTCCTTCTCGAACCACACTGGGATGTCAACCCTCTTTGTCCTTCTCGAACCACACTGTGATGTCAACCCTCTTTGTCCTTCTCGAACCACACTGGGATGTCAACCCTCTTTGTCCTTCTCGAACCACACTGGGATGTCAACCCTCTTTGTCCTTCTCGAACCACACTGGGATGTCAACCCTCTTTGTCCTTCTCGAACCACACTGTGATGTCAACCCTCTTTGTCCTTCTCGAACCACACTGGGATGTCAACCCTCTTTGTCCTTCTCGAACCACACTGGGATGTCAACCCTCTTTGTCCTTCTCGAACCACACTGTGATGTCAACCCTCTTTGTCCTTCTCGAACCACACTGGGATGTCAACCCTCTTTGTCCTTCTCGAACCACACTGTGATGTCAACCCTCTTTGTCCTTCTCGAACCACACTGGGATGTCAACCCTCTTTGTCCTTCTCGAACCACACTGTGATGTCAACCCTCTTTGTCCTTCTCGAACCACACTGTGATGTCAACCCTCTTTGTCCTTCTCGAACCACACTGTGATGTCAACCCTCTTTGTCCTTCTCGAACCACACTGGGATGTCAACCCTCTTTGTCCTTCTCGAACCACACTGGGATGTCAACCCTCTTTGTCCTTCTCGAACCACACTGTGATGTCAACCCTCTTTGTCCTTCTCGAACCACACTGTGATGTCAAACCTCTTTGTCCTTCTCGAACCACACTGTGATGTCAACCCTCTTTGTCCTTTTCGAACCACACTGGGATGTCAACCCTCTTTGTCCTTCTCGAACCACACTGTGATGTCAACCCTCTTTGTCCTTCTCGAACCACACTGGGATGTCAACCCTCTTTGTCCTTCTCGAACCACACTGTGATGTCAACCCTCTTTGTCCTTCTCGAACCACACTGTGATGTCAAACCTCTTTGTCCTTCTCGAACCACACTGTGATGTCAACCCTCTTTGTCCTTCTCGAACCACACTGGGATGTCAACCCTCTTTGTCCTTCTCGAACCACACTGTGATGTCATCCCTCTTTGTCCTTCTCGAACCACACTGGGATGTCAACCCTCTTTGTCCTTCTCGAACCACACTGTGATGTCAACCCTCTTTGTCCTTCTCGAACCACACTGGGATGTCAACCCTCTTTGTCCTTCTCGAACCACACTGTGATGTCAACCCTCTTTGTCCTTCTCGAACCACACTGGGATGTCAACCCTCTTTGTCCTTCTCGAACCACACTGTGATGTCAACCCTCTTTGTCCTTCTCGAACCACACTGTGATGTCAACCCTCTTTGTCCTTCTCGAACCACACTGTGATGTCAACCCATATGGGACCGACAACAACCACCCCTCTCCGCTTCTACGCTCCCCTTCCCGCCCTTACTCCCCCCTCCTTTCTTTCACACCACCCTCACGCTTTCATGCTCTAGCAACCCCCCCACCCACCCACCCGAGGTCCTTCTTAGCCTATTCGTCCTTCTCAAAGCGGGCTGTGATGTCAACCCATATGGGATCAAAGCAAATCACCTCTCTCCTCCAGGTTACTTCCCTCCTCTCCCTTTATATACCTACCCACCCACCCAGCCCTCACATTCTCATCCTTCACTCACCCCAGGTCCTTCTTTGCCTCTTCGTCCTTCTCGAACCGGGCTGTGATGTCCACCCATATCGGCACCACACGTCTGGTGTGCAGGGGAATGGGGGGAATGGGGGTGATGCAGTGAGAGGGAAGAAAGAGGGAAAGAGAGAGGGGAAATGAAAATGGGAAGCGCAGAGGGAAAGTGAGAGAGGCGAAGCGAAGTGAGAAGGGGCAAATGGGAGACTTGAAGTGAGAGGGGAAGTGAGAGGGAAAATGAGAGAGGGTAAGTGAGAGAGGAGAAGAGGGAGAGATAGAGGAGTTGAGAGAGGAACATGGGGAAGGCGAGGTGAGAGGGGGGAAGAGGGAGAGAGGTACTGACGCAAGAGCAGCAGTGGGAGCGAGAACTGGTGCGTTGCCTGTCTGAGGAATGTCCTTTAGATCTCCGGGATAGTAGCTGCAAAGGGGGAGGGGTGGTTTTAGAAGGAAAATAAGAGAGGATAGAATATGAGATGGTGACAGGGTGAGGGGTGGTGGGGATGGTCAAATCAGGGCAGAGCAGAAAAGATTGAAATTGAGAGTAGCAGATTATGATGGGGTGGATGAAACGGGAGGGTAGGTGGGGATGATATTAAACACGCAGAACAGAGCAGAGCACCGCACAGCACAGCACAGCACAGCACCACAGACAGAGCAGAGAGCATTGAATCATAATGTGGTGGTTAAAAAAGGAGGGTAGGTGGGGATGATGTTTAGCATGCAGAACAGAGCAGAGCACCGCAGAGCACCACACAACACAGCACAGCACAGCACCACAGACAGAGCAAGCAGAGAGTTAAGAATCATGATGTGGTGGATGGAATAGGAGGGTAAGTGGGGATGATATCTAGAACGCAGAACAGAGCACCGCACAGCACCGCACAACACAGCACAGCACCACAGAGAGAGCAGAGAGTAACGAATCATGATGTGGTGGATGGAATAGGAGGGTAGGTGGGGATGATATCAAGAACGCAGAACAGAGCAGAGCACCGCACAGCACCGCACAGCACACATACCGAATCATGATGTGGTGGATGTGAGGATGATGTGAAGAAAGATGTGAAGAAGAACACAGAACCGCACATCAGAGCATCGCACAGTAGTGCACCACACTGCACCGCACAGAACACATACCGAATCATGATGTGGTGGATGGAGGGGTAGGTGGGGATGATGTAGCCAAACGGGAAGCCCAAAGCGCGCCCTGTTGGGGGGATGGCGACGGGCCTGGCAGGGAGGAGAGGGATTAGTGGGACGAGAGGGATGAGTAGAAGGAGGTTTAGGGTTTACCAGAGAGTTTGAAAGAGAATGTTATGGTTTGTTTTACACTGGCAAAAGGAGGAGGAGGGAGGAGAAGGGGGAAGGGGAGGGAGGAAAACAGAGGTGTAAAGATTCTAATACGGCAAGAAGGTGGCAGTATTTCCATGCTGTAAAATTGACATCATCCCCGTTATAAGCTCACTAGTTGGTCTCGATCATGAGAAGTGCCTTGATACGATATCCGTGTTATGAAATTTCCATCCCCGCTATAAGCTCACTCAATTGACAAAGATATAGTTCGTTTCAATCATGAAGATCGATTCGGCCTTCACATAAAAGTAGCCATCCCCTCACTCTGCTGCTGTACAGTTGCCATCCCCTTTACAAGCTCACTCACTTGACAAAGAGGTAGTCCGTTTCAATCATGAAGATCCAGTCCCCCTTCACATCCCCCGACTCCAGCCACTGCTGGATGGCAAAGGGGCGATCAGCGACTGGGTACTCGCACCTGGTGAGGGGAGGGAAACGAAAGAGACGAGAGGGGTAAGAATGGTGAGTAGGCTGCCTCTCACGTTTGGATGGCCCTTCAGACGTCAGCTGACTCCAGCCACTGCTGGATGGCAGGTTTAGGGTTAAGAGTTTAAGGTGAAGGTCACAGGTTCGAATCCTGTAGCATGCATTTGTTTGCTTCATCTTATCGGGGCGATCAGCCGCCGGGCACTCGCACTTGGTGTGGGGAGGAGGGGAGGAGAGGAGGTAAAGGGTCAAGAAACACAAAGTATTGAAAACAAAGGGGCCGTAATAGAGCAAGAATAGAGAGAACAGTGTGCTGGTCATCACATTTGGGCTTGAGAGGGTGTACAGGAGGAAGGAGGAAGCGCAGGAGATGAGCGGGAGAGAAAGAATGGAGAGGGGAGTTGTGGGAAATGGACTTCGAAAGAGCAGGGAGGGAGGTCACCGCAACTTAACGTACCAGTCGTCACACTTGGGTTCGAGAGGTCGCACGCGCACCTGGGTGTGGGCTCAGAACAAAAGTGGGGGCAACGGGTGGTGGGAAGGGCAGGGCAGGAGGGAACGACCAGGAGAAACGAGACAAGGACAGGGAGGAGATAAGGGAGGAGGAGGCATAAAAACGTAGGGGAGGAGGAAGGGCAGGAGGGTATGAGCTCCAACGAATCAAGTTGGAGAGGTGTCGAGTTCAGAACATCTCGTACGTCCTGTCCTGGCATGAAAACAATGTATTGCCTATAGTTGACTATGCAGGTGACGTGCGAGTTGACGCAATAGGCCCCATTCACTAGAATGACTTTTGAGTCGACTCAAAAGTCAACTCCTGGCATGAAAACAATGTCTGCAGGTGACGTGCGAGTTGACGCAATAGGCCCCATTCACTAGATTTTAGTGATAATTATATATGCAAGTGACAAGGAGCAGCACATTTACTACAAGCACACGTATACGTCCATTCTGAAAAAAATCATCACTTACAGTGGGCACCAGGTGCGTGCATTCACAGTAAGCACATACTCACAAAGTGTGTAAAAGAACAGCACTCACAGCGGGCACTCACAGTGGGCACTCACAGTGGGCACTCACAGTCACGGTGGGCACTCACGGTGGGCACTCACGGTGGGCACTCACAGTGGGCACTCACAGTGGGCACTCACAGTGGGCACTCACAGTGGGCACTCACAGTGGGCACTCACAGTGGGCACTCACAGTGGGCACTCACAGTGGGCACTCACAGTGGGCACTCACAGTGGGCACTCACAGTGGGCACTCACAGTGGGCACGAGGTGCATGAGCTCGTCGTCCTTGGTGCGATGCAGCACGCGCGTGAAGAAGCGCAGGTTGCTGCCTGGCTCAGATGCCACCTGTGATGAGAGAAGGAATGAAGGAGAGAGGGGAGATGAAGAGGCGAGACAGAGAAGGAAGATGAAGAAGTGTAGGTTGCTGCCCGCCTCAGATGCCACCTGCCCGTACACAAGGAAGTACGGATGATCGGGCGGGAGAGAGGGAGGAAAGGGAGCTGAAACGAAAAAGTGCAGGTTGCTGCCACCTCTCGATGATTGCTCTGTTGTAACATTTCTATACAACATACACAGGCTCAAATAGGAGGTGTGGGTGTGGCTACTGGCTACATTGACTCACTATGTCTACAGCACACTGCTCGCTCGCACAATCATGCTGACCTCCTATTTGCTGTCTCTCACTACATTAATATATGTATATATATAAATATATATATCAACAAAACTTCTAAAGCACTGAACGATTTTTTGCACCTTGCATGTGATACACCTTCTTGTACGTGTGGAACATGAGCAGCGTTTGCCAGTTCATGTATGCATTGCGGTTACAAAATGACAATCACACTGATGAATCGTAACTAGTTTACTATTATGGGCGCCCCTCATTCCTTCGCACCTTCTTGTATCTGTGGAACATGAGCAGCATCTGCCAGTTCATGTACGCATAGCCATTCTAGTCAAAGGCAGACCTTACTGCAGAGGCTTTACTTCCTTCCATCAAATAAGCACCTCTCCTCTCCTTCCGTCTCACCTTCTTGTACGTGTGGTACATGAGCAGCGTCTGCCAGTTCATGTACGCATTGCCGTTCTTCTCAAAGGTAGACAGCTGGGCTGAAAAGGCCTTATTTCCATCAGCTACTCGTAGCTAGTACTGTCATGAGCACATCCCCTTCCTCCTCACCTTCTTGTACGTGTGGAACATGAGCAGCGTCTGCCAGTTCATGTACGCATTGCCGTTACTCGTGACCATCGCATGAATGCTCCCCTTCTCCATCTCCCCAGGCACCACCGCCGGCTTCGCCACCTCCTGCTGTGCCACCGCTCCTCCTCTCACCAACACACCTCCTCCTTCCACCACCCCTCCTCGCGCCACGCCTATCACTTGCCCCGCCCCCCCTGCTTGCCCCACGCCCCCTTGCTGCTCCTGCTTCACCCCCTCGCCTCCTCCTCCTCCTCCTCCTCCTCCTCCTTCCCCACCTTTCGTCCCCTCCGCATACCCCTTGGCCCGCCACTCCCGCTCATAGGCGCCAATCTCTGCATCGCTGCGCCCCATCTCTCGCAGCTCCCTCAGCGTGTATTTGGGCAGATGGTTAATCGCCTCGTTGACTTTTGACACCAGCACCTTCTGAGACTCCGATGCCTGGTGGAAGAGAGACGGAACAACAATGGGGTTGGGTGGGGTGGAAAGGGGTTGGGCCCGTCTCCCGCAGCTCTCTCAGCGTGTACTTGGGCAGGTGGTTAATGGCCTTGTTCACCTTTGACACCAGCACCTTCTGGGACTTTGATGTCTGGTGGGAGAGGGGAAACGGGGAAGGGAGGAGTAAGAGTGACGAGCCTCGCTGCGCCCCATCTCCCGCATCTCCCTTAGCGTGTACTTGGGCAGGTGGCAGGTTGCCTCATTGGCCTTGGCCACCAGCACCTGCTGGGACTCCGATGCCTGGTGGGAGAGAGACGGAACAACAATGGGGTTGGGTGGGGTGGAAAGGGGTTGGGCCCGTCTCCCGCTGCTCTCTCAGCGTGTACTTGGGCAGGAGGTTGATGGCCTCGTTGACTTTCGACAACAGCACCTTCTGAGACTCCGATGCCTGATAACGGAAAGAGAGGGGGGGAAAGATGGGGTTGGGTGGGGTGGGAAGGGGTTGGGCCCATCTCCCGCAGCTCCCTCAGCGTGTACTTGGGCAGATGATGAATTGCTTCGTTCACCTCCCTATACCGCGACCCACCTCCCTCTACCGCGACCCACGTCCCTCTACCGCGACCCACCTTCCTTTACCGCGACCCACCTTCCTCTACCGCGACCCACCTTCCTCTACCGCGACCCACCTTCCTCTACCGCGACCCACCTTCCTCCACAATGACCCACCTTTCCTTCTGGAGGTTCAGGCACTGGGTCCGGCAGCCCTCTGTTGGTGAACTGGTGTGACTAGTGCGTGAAACTCACGTTGAGACTTGTGTGCACTGCAGATAACACTCACCTCCCCCTCTGCGTTCTCACCTTCCCCTCTGGCGGTTCAGGCACTGGGTCTGGCAGCCCTCTGTCTGTGAACTTGCGCTTGTCAAACTCCCAGACCACGTTGCCACTCCAGTCCTGCAGCATGGGAGTGAAGGGAGGTGGGCACGTGCGAGCAGAAGGCAACAAAGGGGAGCAAGAAATGATGTCTGTGAACTTGCGCTTGTCAAACTCCCAGACCACGTTGCCACTCCAGTCCTGGATTATTGGCATTGGGGGACACATGACAGATGGGTGTGCGACATGAGACAGGAACGTGACCTTGTCTGTCACGACTCACACTCCCAGTGAAGAAGAACGTACGAGGAGAGAAAGGATGCATGGGAAAAAAAGGCTTACTTATGCATACTCAACACAGTTTAAAGCGCAAAAGAGGCGTGAGGCAGAGCGAGCTACAGAAGCGGCGAAAAGAGAGCTTCGGCAAGCGCGTGCTGCAGTGTGGCCCTGGTCGGGAGAAAGCTGTGTTGGAAGAGCAGCTTCGGGCGAGCCAGGAGTAGGTTCCGCAGCTGAGACTGGGGGTGCAGGAGGAGGGAGTGAGAGAGGGACTGGGGGGGACAGGAGGAGGAGAGAGTGAGTGAGAGTTTGGAACCTGCTCCTGCTCCTCACCAGACTCTTACTCACTCTTTCCTCCTCCTGTCCCCCCAGTCACTCACTCACTCCCTCTTCCTGCACCCCCAGTCCCAGCTCCGGAACCTACTCCTGAGTTGCCCAAAACTGCTCTTCCAACACAACTTTCTCCCGAACCAGAGCCACAGCTGCAGCACGCGCTTGCCGAAGCTCTCTTTTCGCCGCTTCTGTAGCGTGCTCTGTCTCACGCCACTTTCCCTCTTCTGTAAGAACTACCATACTTCAACATGATGAACTGCGTATTCAAATCGTCCCGCCCCACCTTAATCTGGCTGCCCCACGTGTAGTGCAACAGAGTTGCATCACCCGCCTCCTTGCCTTCTGAGTCGACTCAGAAGCCACCTAGTTAACCCATCTCACCCCAACTACTCTAACCGCCCCCGCATAATCACCTGAATAACTCGTCCCACCATCTAGCCAGTCCCACCTTGATCTGACTGCCCCACGTGTAGTGCAGCAGAGCAGCATCACCCACCACCTTGTCAGCTGGAGGCTGTGGGTAGATTGAGGGAAAGGGAGCAAGGGGGGAAGAGGGTAGATGGAGGGACGAGGGAGAGGAGATTTTTTAGTCGAATTAAATATAAGATTGAGGGACACGACGCATTGGGGGCAAGGGGGGAGACGGAGGTACAAGGGGGGGGAGAGCATGAGCACAGCACCGCTGCCACCACATATCATCACATATCATCACATAACACCGCGTATCACCACACATCACAGCACATTACCACATAGCATAACACTACACTTATGACGGCATGCAAAAATTGCATACCACCCGCACACATCACCGCACATCACCGCACACCGCCGCACACCACCGCACATCACCGCACATCACCTGGCTCATGATGGCGTGCGGCATGGGCGGCAGGTCAATCTTCACCCCTGCAAGCGCAAGGGAGATGGAGAAAGCATACATCTCCCGCACCCACCTATGGCAGGGGAGAGGGAGGTGGTGGGGGAGAAGGGGAGAGGAGAGGGTAATTGGTGTGAACAGAAGAAGGGGAGGTGGGGGGGAGGGGGCGGAGAAGAGGGGGGAGTTGGTGTAAAATAGGAGAGGGGGTGCAGTTTGAGTGCGAGGGAAAAGGAGAAGGCATGATTCCCCCGCATCCACCTATGATGGTGGGGGATGAAGGGGGAGAGGGGAGAAGGATGAGGGGGTGACAGAAGGAGAGAGGGAGATGAAGATGACACGGATTTACATATTTTGCGTTGCAGCATCTATCGCACCCAAATGTGCACTTTGCTCAAAACCGCACCAAACCTTTTTTTCTATCCTCACCAACCCTTGCAGAACCACTACCCCATGCCACCCACTCACTCACCCGAACCGCTCCTTGCTTTCCGCGTTCCCTTCGATGCCTGCTGTCACGTTCACCCATATGGGCACCACTTGCCTGGGATGGGTAGGCAGGGAGAGGGAGAAACGGAGCAAGGAAGTGGGCACAGAGAGAGGTCGGGAGACCTGTTAGCTGCTTTCCGTGTTCCCTTCGATGCCTGCTGTCACGTTCACCCATATGGGCACCACCCTCCTGGAGTAGCAAGCAGACAAGGAGTGCCAACAAGAAGAACACGAATGTGATCATATGAGTATGAATGTGTTCATCCTCCTTATAGTGCCTGAACACGAGCCTGAACAAGCACATGAAGAATATGAATATGATCTTATGAGTATGCATCTGAACACGAGCCTGAAGAAGCTCATGAACATGATTATGAATGCGAGATCAATCTGAATACGAATTTACACATGAGCGTAACTGCACCCAGCACTCACATCATGTCATCATATCGCATGATGGTCGGGGCATTGCCAGTCCTCGGGACGTCCTCGATTCGGTATGGCTCCGGGTAATACCTGTGATGTGTGTGAGAAACAAGCATGGTGCGCATTAAAAAGCGACAAAATTTTTCAGGCGCCTCAGAATTTGATACGACGACATGATGTGACCTCGATTCGATACGGCTCCGGGTAATACCTGCCGTAACAACAAGCGCTACATACACGAGTTACGAATAAGCGTTGCGCATGTAGCAGAAATATTTGCTCTCCGTGTAATGCTCAGAAGAAGATAAGATGGAGTGTTAACGCACGGTAAACTAGTGTCATGTCATGGTGAGATAATATGACAAAGAGTCTTACGGTTGTGGATGTAAACGGTGCATCCACAACCGTGTACACGGTGCAAATATTTCGGCTGAATGGACAATAATACGGCTGAATGGACCAACAATGAGAAATGAGATCATGGAAAACCGGAGGGATACAGCTCTTGCCTGCGCATGAAGGGACGGAGTTCAGGGTCTTGAGGTGCGATGTAGTCAAAGGGAAACCCCAGCGCCCTGCCTGCCGGCGGGATGGATACAGGCCTGCAGAGGAGAAAGAGAGTAAGGGGAAGTGGAGGGTAGGCAGTTAGGAAGGGAAAGAATGGATTGGCAGAAATCAGGGTCTTGAGGCGCGATGTAGTCAAAGGGGAACCCCAGCGCCCTGCCTGCTGGGGGAAGATGTAGCTGTAGAACGCGAGGGAAGATGTGGTGTGTCTTTTGACCATGAAAGCAATGGCTTCTCTTTGGTATGCAATTTACATCCCCCCAATAAGCTCGCTGGGCAAAGATCCGTCTCTCGACCATGAAAACGGTGAATTGATTTGATATCGGTGATACAGATTCGCCATCCCCGTTATAAGCTCACTTGACAAAGATATAGTCGGTTTCGATCATGAAGATCCACTCGCCCTTCACGTCCCCCGACTCCAGCCACTGCTGGATGGCAAAGGGGCGGCTAGCTACAGGGTATTCGCACCACGTGTCACACGTGGGGTCCAGGGGCTTGACCCGAACCTGGGCAAGAAAGGAAGAAAGGGTAAGGGAAGCAGGCAGGTCGAGGAGGGATGGAATGAGAAGGGAAGGGGCGGCTTGCTACAGGGTACTCGCACCACGTGCCACACGTGGGGTCCAGAGGCTTCACTCGGACCTGGGTGGAGCGAAAGGGAAGAAAAGGAAGCAGGCAGAGGATGGAGTGAGAAGGGGCGGGTTGCTACAGGGTACTCGCACCACGTTTTTCACGTGGGGTCCAGAGGCTTGACTCGGACCTGGGGGAGGGGAGCAGGGTGGAGCGGAAAGAGAAGGTCAGAAGGGGCGGCTTGCTACAGGGTACTCGCACCACGTGCCACACGTGGGGTTCAGAGGCTTGACTCGGACCTGGGGGAGGGGAGCAGGGTGGAGCGGAAAGAGAAGGTCAGAAGGGGCGGCTTGCCACAGGGTACTCGCACCACGTGTCACACGTGGGGTCCAGAGGCTTCACTCGGACCTGAGGAAGAAAGGGATGGAAGAGTCAGGGAAGCAGGCAGGTCGGCTTTTGAGGCGCCTAAAAAATCGTCTCAGAAGTTTGCTGCTACTCCCAACATGAACCTTGGACCTGAGGAAGAAAGGGATGGAAGAGTCAGGGAAGCAGGCAGGTCGGCAGAGGATGGAGTAAGATGGGGAAGGCCTGCCACCTGTCACCTGTGAGGGGTACTCAACTCACTCACACCACGTGTCACACGCAGGCTCTAAAGGCCTGACAAGGGAGTTTTTGAGAAGTCTCAAAAACTCCCTGCAACGTCACACGCAGGCTCTAAAGGCCTGACAAGGGTGACAGGGCCTTCCCATGCATTCCACAAGGCCTGACAAGGGTGACAGGGCCTTCCCATGCCTTCCACAAGGCCTGACAAGGGTGACAGGGCCTTCTCATGCATTCCACAAGGCCTGACAAGGGTGACAGGGCCTTCCCATGCATTCCACAAGGCCTGACAAGGGTGACAGGGCCTTCCCATGCATTCCACAAGGCCTGACAAGGGCGACAGGGCCTTCTCATGCATTCCACAAGGCCTGACAAGGGTGACAGGGCCTTCCCATGCATTCCACAAGGCCTGACAAGGGTGACAGGGCCTTCCCATGCATTCCACAAGGCCTGACAAGGGTGACAGGGCCTTCCCATGCATTCCACAAGGCCTGACAAGGGTGACAGGGCCTTCCCATGCATTCCACAAGGCCTGACTCAAACCAGGATGCGAAAGAGAAAGGGAAGGATGGAAGGGAGGGACAAGGAGGCATGGGCAGGATGTGGAAGGGTAGACACGTGGACATCACATGCATGAGTGCAGTGCAGTGCAGTATCTGTCAAGTTGTCTGCCAGTGTAGCATGTGCCGTGCCTGCCGTGTGCAATGTTACCTGCTCTGCCTGCCAGGTATAAACTGCACATGTCACCCACCCCCGTGTTCAATCACCCATGCACTACTACTGTGGGCATCACATCACATCACATCGATCAGTGCGTCGTCTGTTGCCCGGTGCACCACAAGCCATGCATTCCGATGTACCAGGCAAAACCGCATTTCATCCCTCTCCACCCCATCTTACCGTCGGCATGACATCCATAAGAGCGTCGTCTGTCGAGCGGTGCAGCACGCGAGTGAAGTGCTTCATGTCACTGCCGGGCTGACCCGCGACCTGATGGGGGAGAGGGCGGAAAACGCATATAAGAGAGCCCCCCCTCAACCCTGCCCCTACTCCTGTTTCTTGTTGCAGCACTCCAAGTGCTTTATGTCACTGCCGGGCAGAGCCGCTCCCTGATGGGGTGGGGTGGGACGGAAGGAGGAGGACCGGGAGGAGAGAGGGTGGAGAGACGACAGGGGGGAGGGAGGAGGGAGGGTGGATAAAGAGACGACAGGGGAGAGGGAGGAGAAAGCACACAACAGACCAGGCCACCTATCGCCCCTGCCCCTCCTCCTGTTGCCCGGTGCAGCATTCGAGTGAAGTGCTTCAAGTCACTGCAAGGGAGACCCGCCACCTGATGGGGTTGGTTGGCGAGGGGCGGTAGGAGAAGGAAAGGGGGGGTGGGGGGTTTAAGGGCGAAGGCAGTGGGAGAAGACAGACAGGAAGGCTCAGAAGTCACCAAATCACCAATTCACCTGCAGATAAGTGTAGTGCATGATCCGCGATTGCCAGTTCAAATATAAGGAGACTCGTTATAGCCTCTAATCCGCCTCACAAGTCACTGACTAACCTGCAGGTACGTGTAGTACATGATCCACGACTGCCAGTTCATATATAAGGAGACTCGCTATAGCCTCTAATCCGCCTCACAAGTCACTGACTAACCTGCAGGTACGTGTAGTACATGATCCGCGATTGCCAATTCATATAAGGCGACCCGTTACTAGTCAGCATCACGTGAATCGCATTTTCCCGCCCGCCTTTCGCCCCCCCTCCCTTACCACCCTCCCCTCCTCCTTTCGTTTCCCTTGCTCCTTCCCCTCCTGCATTGCTGCTCCCTCTAGTGCCGCTGCTGCTGCTGCTGCCCGTATGGGAGCCTCGCAACAGACGAACGTCGTCAAACGAGCCACGCCTGGGGAAAACGGAGCGAGGGGAACAGGGAGAGGAGGGAGCAGACAGGAAAGCGAATGGGGTAAGCGCGTGCATTGCTGCTCCCCCTGCTGCTGCCCCTGCTGCTGCCCATGCTGCTGCTGCCACTATGGGAGCCTCGCAAGAAGCGAACGCCGTCGAGCGAGCCACGCCTGGGGAACACGGAGCGGGGGAAAGGGATAGAGGGAGAAGGCAGGGAAGCGAATGGGGTAAACGCGTGCGCTGCTGCTCCAACTGCTGCTGCTGCCAGTACGGGAGCCTCGCAACAAGCTTACGCGGCCGAACGAACCACGCTTGGGTACCAACACGGAGCGAGGAGGCGGGAGGAGAGGGGCATGGTTCCGGGAAGTAACACTTTGGCCGAATAGGGACAGACTTTGCTAACCACCTGTGACAATTCTGGCCACCTATTCACTAGATTGAAGGACCACCTTAAAGCCTACCTTCTCGCCTTCCCACGCAGGCACACGCAGACGCACTAGCTTCTACCGTCTGGCCGTCAAACCACACCAGCTAGCCGTCTAGGCGCACAAGCAGCAATAGCTGCACGACTGGCCGTCTAACCGTCTAGCCGCATTAGCCGTTTGGCTGTCTGGCCGTCCAGGCGTTGAGCCGTTCATTCGCGCACCTTCCGATGGCATGCAGACGTCGGTAGTGCTCGCGCGGGCGGGAGCAGAAGCTGATAATGAAGAGGCCAACAACGAGTATGATGATCGCTCGCGTCGTCGGCCCGTGCGAGACTTGCCGGCGAAGGCCTCTCATGGCTGGCGACGACTCTTAACGAATCTCTATTACGCTGTGTGTGGTTATAGCGAGGATTGCTCAGGAGGATACTTTGGGTGCCTAGAAAATGCCGACGTGTCCGCAAGACGGCTAAACAGCGAGGTAAGACGGGAAAACAACTAACAGAAAAGGGAATAACGACAGGCGCAGTAAATCACTAGAGAAGTACGCCAACTGCGGCTTGCCAGCTCCGACGCTCGCGCTCGGTTGGCTTGCTAGCTTCCTGGACCAGCAGCCATTGTTCAGTGACCTACGCGGATTTCAGTGAATCCTACACCAGGACAATTGACTGAGGGAGGATGGACTGGAGATGTGAGGGTCTCGAGAACCGAGCTGTACCCAAAGGTAACGTTTGAAAACCATCTCAAAACTACAGAACCTGGCTTCGCCTTGCGTGTCCCCCTCGGAAACACCGAAGCACACACAGGTGGGATCGGGTTGGGTGTGTTCTGGGATGATGATGTTCGATATTGAAAGTGCGGTTCAGGCCGTACAGATCTGATCGTCGTGTACCGGCAGAACAGTGAAAATGACACGCATCTCATATGATATTACAGTTTACAACCAGAAACATGCAATCTTCATGCTAAAAAGGGAAGTCACACTAGCGTCGGATCGGAAAACTTTCCCACAGTCGCACCAGCGGAAGACTCATCCAGATATCCTACCATAAATTCACGCCCATAAGAACTCACGAGCAAGTTCATCTGCTAACATTTTCATTTGCAAGTTCATCCCACCTTCCCCTCCTCCAACCCACCCTCCCCAGCAGCAGCAGCAGCAACTTACTCACACCCAATCTTACCTCCAATCAACCCACTCGTTACCTCCATTCTCCACCCCTCTTCCCCGCACGAGCAATCAACGGTCCCAAATCAACCGTGGCGGGCCCTCTTGTCCCCCTCCTCTTATCATCCCCAGCAGCAGCAGCATCACACAGCCGAGCCAGCACGTCCGGAAAAGGCTCGTCAATTGCTGTCAGCTGTAGCTGCTGCCGCTGCACCACGAGAATGCGATGGCCTGCTTCCTTGGCACTTGAGTAGAGCTCCTGAAATGGGCGGAGGAAGAGGGGTAAACGAATGTAGAAGAGACAGAGGGAACAGAGGGGATGGGACGATGGGAAGGAGTGAGAGAGGCAACCTAAGGCTGGTCAAAGGCTGTTACCTGCAGCTGGTCAAAGGCTGTTACCTGCAGCTGGTCAAAGGCGTTACCTGCAGCCGGTCTAAGGCTGTTACCTGCAGCTGGTCAAAGGCTGTTACCTGCAGCTGGTCAAAGGCTGTTACCTGCAGCTGGTCAAAGGTTGTTACCTGCAGCCGGTCAAAGGCTGCTACCTGCAGCTGGTCAAAGGCTGCTACCTGCAGCTGCTGCCGCTGCATCACGAGAATGCAATGACACGCTTCCCTGCCCTTTGATTGAAAAGAGCTCCAGAGATGGAGAGCGGAACCCAAGCCCAAACGCTCCCAAGGTGAGTGAAACCCAAACGCTCCCAAGGTGAGTGAAACCCAAACCCTCCCAAGGTGAGTGAAGCCCAAACACTCCCAAGGTGAGTGAAGCCCAAACACTCCCAAGGTGAGTGAAGCCCAAACGCTCCCAAGGTGAGTGAAACCCAAACCCTCCCAAGGTGAGTGAAGCCCAAACACTCCCAAGGTGAGTGAAGCCCAAACACTCCCAAGGTGAGTGAAGCCCAAACGCTCCCAAGGTGAGTGAAGCCCAAACCCTCCCAAGGTGAGTGAAGCCCAAACACTCCCAAGGTGAGTGAAGCCCAAACGCTCCCAAGGTGAGTGAAGCCCAAACGCTCCAGAGCTAACACCCAGGCAGTTGCTCTGTCACTCACCTTGGGAGCGAGTTGACCTTTGAGTTGACTCACAAGTCAACTCGCTCCAAAGTCAACGCGACTCAAAAGTCAACTCGCTCCAAAGTCAACTCGACTCAGAAGTCAACTCGCTCCAAAGTCAACTCGACTCAAAAGTCAACTCGCTCCACAGGTAACACCCAGGCAGTTGCTCTGCCACTCACCTTGGGAGCACACGGAACTGCTTTCACCTCCACAGCCACACCAGCAGCTGCCTCAATTCTCTCCTCCTCCTCATCACCCCCCTCCTCCTCTCCTTCCAGCTCCTCTGGGTGCGCCAGCAGCCACACCCTCAGCACCTCACTGAACCGCGCTGCATCCACCACGTCTTCAAACCCCACCACTATCCATGCGTCCTCTGCTGCTGCTGCTGCTGCTCCAGCTGTCCCACCAGTATCCTCGTTATAAACACCCTCAGTAGAGTAGGCAGTGGCAGAGCCCCAATCAGGGGGGAGCTGGAAGGAGTAAGGCACCCTCTGCACTCGCTGCCCCTCACTGCCGCCACCGCTGCTGCTGCTGCTGCTGCTCCAACGCATTATCATCACGACCTGAAAACGAAAGAAGGTAAGAAAGGAGGAAGCAAACAAAAGAAAAGTCAGCAGAGTAGGCAGCAGTGGCAGAGCGGGCTGGAAGGAGTATGACACCCCCCTCTGCACTCGCTGCCCCTCACTGCCAGCGCCATACGGCAAGGGTTTGGGAAGAAAGGAGAGAAAGCGGGCTATTTTTTAGGTTTAATGGTTGCAACCAAACGTGAGAATTTATGAATATGAACAGCTTTTGAGCCGCCTCAAAAGTCAAGTCGACTTTGAGAATTTGAACGGGATAGGGACAATAATGCAAAACTGATAAACACTCCTAAAAATACAGAACAGATCCATCCACTCACCCACACAGCCTGCAGGTCAAGCCACCACAGTCGGTCCAGGTCCGGCCGAACCACCCCTCTCCGCCGAGCCTCCTCCTCCTCCGCATCCCGAGCCTGCTCCAAATACTTCTCCGCCACAGCTTCCGCGCCAAACCTCTCTTTCTCCTCCCGAACCTTCTCGAGAAAACTTTTCACTGCTGCCCGCTGCTTCGGGTCGCCCCCTTCCCTCCCTGCCGCCACAACCTGTGAGAGAGTTGGAGCAGAATTAATTTCTTCCTCTGAAAGCCACCTGGGGAGGTCTTTTCCTAGCTGCTGAATCACCTCCTTCACACCCGGATCCCTCTCCTCTTCATACCTTGCCCTTATATCCTCTGCCCACTGCTTTGTGTTGCTCCACCCTTCGTCACCGCTCCCCACCGCTCTGCCTGCCCTCCCTGCCTGTGTCTCCTCTAGCGACCAGGTCTGGCGACCAATCATGCCTATACTAGAGCTCACTACTACACTCTCTCCCGATTCCCCTCTCCCACTCCCACTGCTCACCACAACACTCTCTCCCCCTTCCCCTCTCCCACTCCCACCGCTCGCCACCACAATCTCCCCTCCTTCCTCTCCCTCCCCTCCCCCACTCTCACCACCCACAGCCGTACTCTCGCTCTCCCCTGCACCCCCATCGTCAACGAACGTGCCCCCATCAGGGGCATTCACGTACTGTGACACTGCCTGCACCAGCAGCTCGTCTGTAGTGCCATCAGTTGCTACAGGCCCACTGGTTGCTGCAATGCCATTCGCTGCTGCTGCAGTGCTGTTGGCTGCTGCTGCCGATGCTGCTGCTGCTGCTGCTGCTGCCGATGCTGCTGCTGGTGCTGATGCTGCCGCTGACGCTGGTGCAGCCTCGTCCCCCTTGCTGCCCTCCTTTCTCACCCCACCACCCCCTGCTCTCATCCGCGGCACCACCACATCCATCGGGTCGCTCACAGAGATGCCGTCTGCAAGAACAATGGGGGGGGGGGGGGGGGGGGGGGGGAGATGGGGGGGTTGGGTGGGGCCGGGAGAGGAGAGGGAAATTTGGGTCACAAGGGGCGGTGTGTTGGTATGGGGGGTGCAAGAATGGTGCCTTTCTCTACCGACCTCCCCCTCCTCTCATCCGCAGCACCGCCTTGTCCAACGGGTCGCTCACCAAAATACCATCTGCAGGGGAAAGAAGGGAGGGAGGAAAGGACAATAGGAAAGTGAATGGTCTGCTCTGCTCACATCAAGCACCCTTCTCCCCCGTCACCCCCTCCTCTCATCCGCAGCACGACCTGTCAAGAGAGGACAGGTGGGCTGCAAAGGCCTTACTTCCATCAATCTCGTGTTGTACTAGACCAACGAAACAAACTCCATGAAGTGATGGCGGAAGGAGCCTGGGTGTGCGCTAGCTTAGAGTGTTATCGAAAGTGAATGGTCTGCTGTGCTCACATCAAGCACCCTTCTCCCCCGTCACCCCCTCCTCTCATGCGCGGCACGACCATATCCACTGGATCAGCCACAGAGATGGCGTCTGCAGGGTAAAAGGGAGCGAGCAACAGGCAATGGAATGGGAATGGCAAAGATCCCTTTTACACCTCCTCTCATGCGCGGCACGACCATATCCATTGGATCAGCCACAGAGATGGCGTCTTCCAGGGGAGTGCGGGAAAAGGGGGATGTGGGTGATGGGGGGTTGAGACGTGGGGAATAGGTTAACAGCGACCACATTGAACCTATTCCTTAAGCTGTTAGTTTAGAATTCAAAGGAAACCACTCTGCTCGCTGCGGTTCGAATCCACATCTTGTTGCACATGGGGAATAGGCTCACAGCGACCACCTCTTTCTCTCCTCAACACTCCCTCCTTCCCCTCATCCGCAGCAGGGAGTTTTTGAGAATTCTCAAAAACTCCTCAACACTCTCTCCCTTCATCTGCAGCACCACCATATCCATCGGGCCCAGACACTCCGCATTCAGGCTTCTTTTCACCACCACACTCCGCATTCAGGATTCATTTCACTACCTTCTTTCACTCTCACTGCGACAAAGCACGATCATTCCACATGGGGTACTCACCTCGGCCATAGTTCAGATTCTCCACCAGCTCGGACACTCCGTCCTCCTTATCCTGCTTCCCGCCCCCCTTACAGCCATCCCCATTAGTATCCTCCCCGTACAGCTTGTTGAGCGCATAAAAAAACGTCGCCTGCTCCTCCTGAGTCAGCCCGTGCATCGAGTCCCGCCCGCCTTCATCACCTCACCTCTGCACCATCCTCACTACATCAGCAACACAACATGCTCATTCCAAACGCACTCACCTCGGCCGTAGTTCAGATTCTCCACCAGCTCAGACACGCCGTCCTCCTTATAGCCATCCCCTTTACCCCCGTTACTCTCCTCCCCATACAGCCAGTTCAGCGCGTCAAAGAACATCTCCTGTTCTTCCTGAGTCAGCCCGTGCATCGAGTCTCTCCCGCCTTCATCGTTCAGCATCACCCGCGCCACCAGGGTCACCAGCTGCTCATCTTCCACCCACCACACAGCCGCACCAGCCGTAGAAGAAGCAGCAGCAGCACCAGCAGCCCCAGCAGCCGCTGCAGCAGCAGCTGCTGCCGCTGCTCGCTGTCTCACTCTTCTCTTTGCGTCCTCCAGCTCCCAGTGCTGCCTGCCCAGTCCCATCTGCACATTGCTCTCCCTCTGCCCCTCTACCTCCCACTCTTGCGTGCCTCCTTCCCTTTGGCCCCTGCCCCCTTCTCCCCCATTTTTAGCACCGTCTGCTGCTGCTGCTCCCCCCCTCCCCGCTTCTTCACCCATCACAACATCATCATTCTTGCCAGCAGAGGCGCTGGCTGCTACAGCTGTACTCGTTATAGTGTCACCCGCTACAGTGCCACGAGGTGTAGCGCCCGCTACACCCGCTACAGTGCCTTTAGGCAGTGTTGTAATCACTCGCGCTCTGCGCCTCCTCCTACCCTCGCCTACTCCTGCTGCTGCTGCCCCTGCCCCTGCAGCTGTTGCCCCTGCAGCTGTTGTTGCTGCCCCTGCTGCGGCTGATGTATCGTCAGCAGTGGCAGCACCAGCAGCAGCAGAGGCACCAGCAGCAGCAGAGGCAGCAGCAGCAGGAGTAGCAGCCGCAGCAGGAGTAGCAGCCGCAGCAGGAGTAGCAGCCGCAGCAGGAGTAGCAGTAGCAGCAGCAGCAGCAGCGATGTCAGGAGGGGAAGACGGGAGAGAGGTTATGATTCGAGCTCGTGCTCTTCTTTCACTCTTGCTCACGCCACTGCTGCTGCTGCTGCTGCTCATGCCACTGCTGCTACTGCTGCCACTGCTGCTACTGCTACTACTGCTGCTTTCTGCTGCTGCAGACTCTGTCTCTGCTGCTTCTATAGCTGCTGCCCCTGCTGTTGCACCACCTGCTGCTGCTGCCCCTGCCCCTGCTGTTGCCCCTGCTGCTGCTGCTGCTGCCGATGGTGCTGCCGCCGCCGTTGCCGCCGCCGCCGCTGCTGCTGCTGCTGCTGCTGCATCTCCCCCAACCGCTGCACTAAACCCCGCCGCATCCCCTCCCGCTCCTCCCAGCTTCCCACCCAGCACAACCGCACACGCCTCCTCCCACACCGCATCCAACACCTGCTGCGTCACCACCTCACCCCGCCGCCTTCTCTCCACCAGCAGCCTCTGCATCTCAGCACTCACCTTCCGCGCTCTCTCCTTCTCCTCCCTCTCCTCCCTCTCCTGCCGCCTGACTAAGTCTGCACTCCGGCGGATCTCAGCCATTGCTGCCTGTCGCCTCTGTTCCTCTCTTTCCCCTTCCTGTTGCTCCTGCTGCTCCTCTCCCTTTTCTCCCCGCTCTCCCTCCTCGCCCTTCCCGCCTTTCTCGCCTTCCTCTCCCTTCTCCTCTGATTCTCCCTCCCTCTCCTCCCTCCTCTCTCTTACCTCTGCACTAATATCCACCACAGCACCCCCTCTCCCGTCCCCCCACGCCCCCTCTCCCCTTCCCCTGATCCCCACACCCTCCCAATCCCCCCCTACTAGCACATCCACTTCCCCGCCTCTTTCCCCTCCAGTCACCCCATTCACCTTCCCGTTAATCCCCCTCACCTCCCTCGTCCCTTCCTCATAAACCCCAAGCCCTGCTTCTCCCCTTCCCCTCCCATCCTCCCAATCCCTCACCTCGCGCCCGCCAATCCCTCTTAACTCCTCTCCACCGCTCTCAACCGCCTCCTCTTCCGCCCATTTCCCCTTGATTCTCTCTGCTCTCTCTCTCTCCATCCGCTCCTGTTCAGCCCTCCTCCTCCACCCTTCCACTTTCTTCTCTTTCATCTTCTTTTTCTCCCAATCCTTCCAATCTATTCCATCCTCCTTATTACCAGCCTCCTTACTTGTTACAAGCCCTTTCCCCTGCTCCTGCAGCCCCTCTTCCTTTTTCTCTGCCTTGCCGCCCGCACGTTTTCCGATCCACGCCACTGTAGCAGCAGTAACGACAAAACCAGCCGCCCACAGCCACCCGCCAGCTGGCAACGGGGAATTCCAAATCTCGCCTCCTTTCGGCCCGGCAACCCCTCCTGCTGGCGTCGCGACCTCAGCCACTAGCCCTTCGCCACGTGGCACCTCTTGACTGCGTTGACTCCCTTGACCCAACGTGGCAGAGGAAGCTTCCTTGATGGCCTCAGTTGAGGCAGTAGGAAGGACGGAGGAGTTGAGAGGGATCGAGTCAGGGGGAGGGACAGGGGCAGGGGCGGAGGCAGAGGCAGGGGCGGAGGCAGAGGCAGGGGCGGAGGCAGAGGCAGGGGCGGAGGCAGAGGCAGGGGCGGAGGCAGAGGCAGGGGCGGAGGCAGAGGCAGGGGCGGAGGCAGAGGCAGGGGCGGAGGCAGAGGCAGGGGCGGAGGCAGAGGCAGGGGCGGAGGCAGAGGCAGGGGCGGAGGTGGAAACAGGGGGGGAAGCGGAGACAGCGGCGGAAGCGGATACAGGGGCGGAGGCGGAGGCAGGAGCGGAAGCGGAAACAGGGGTGGAAGCAGTGGCGGCAGCGGAGACAGGGAGGGACTGCTTAGGAACGGGCGCAGCAGCAGGAGGAGCAGGAGCAGCAGGGACGGCTGTAGCAGCAGGGGAGGTTGTAGAAGCAGGGACGGTTGTAGCAGCGGGGACGACAGACGTCTTTCCCGCGCCCGTCTTCCCCTTCCCCTCTTCCCCATGCAGCCGGCGCAGCCGCCACTGCCCCCCGCGGCCCTTCTTGTCGCGCTGCCACTCGCCGTCGCGCGGACGGCTCGAGCCGCCGCTCCGGCCGCTACGACCGCTTTGCGCGTCTCCCCTTAAGTCGGAATTCGCGTCGCGCCGTAAGCCCGAAGTTGCGCTGCTGCTTCCGCCGCTTCCACGAGCCGCGGTTGCCGCGCCGCCTGTGACTCTAGACTCGTCATTGCGCGCCGCGCGTGTGACACTAACGAGGGGTGATCGGCCAGATCGTCTTCTGGAATTTCGGAGATTAAGGGCCACCGATCCGGTATGTAGACCAATGGAAAATATACTTGATCGGCGGGAGGTAAGAATGCTTGACGCGATCTCTTTTCGCGGATCGCGGTTCAGCCCGAAGCGCCATACCCTTCCGCTAGATAAAGCGCTAATCGCGCCGTGTAAGGGGTGACGTGGCAGGGCTCCTAAAGCCGTCGACTTGGTCGGTCGCGACAATCGCGAAAATGCGACGGGAGTCGAGCGTGCGACGAGAGTCGAGTGTGTGACGGGTGTCGAAACTGCGATGGGAATCGCGGGTGCGCCGAAGGGTGTCGAGGCGACCGCGGAAAGGCGGAGCGCGGATGAGTGGATTAGCACCGCCATGCTCGCGGTGGTGCGTCAAATCGAATGAATGGCGGTCGCAAGAATAGGCAAAATCAAGTAACTCTTCCTCGGTCTTCCCCTCTCTTCCCGTTGTTGCCCAGCCCAGCAGCGCGGGTGGAATGCAAGCTGGATTCTGGTGGGAAGAATGTTGAGTGTATATTATGGGTGCAATGAATCGAGGTTGCGAGGATTGCACTAAGTGCGAGCTAGCTAGTGCTACGCTGGCGCGAGGTTCGGGCTAGTCCCGAAAGCGTAGGCCAACTCGGTTGCTCCAGCAGTGCGAGGTTTGGTGAAACAGTGTGTGCGAAGTTGGCGAAGCCCGTTAGGAGTAACGGGCGAACAACGGCTGCTGCTGTACGCAAAGTTATAGGTCGCGGTAAGGAATGTCGAGAAAATTCCTTACACTACCCCCTCCCCCCCCCCTCAAGAAGCCCCCTCCGCTACGCGAGTGCGTGTATATCTCGGAAACCCCGGCTCCTGAGGTTCACTTGCAGGGCAGCCTGTCAAATTACATTTGTGTGCTTCTAGGCTGTAGTGGGGCATACTCTAGTGAGTACAACCCTTTAGGGTTTCATACATGTACTTGTTGGGCTGAGAAAAGCCCTTAGGATCTTTGCAAGGCTAAACTCTGGGTAGGACTTGTTGTAAATGCGGAAGCGTATAATGATAAGTCTTCAACCACCTTACGCTGGTATGTGAGGGCAAAGTAGATTGACTAATCAAAGAGATAGAAGGCTTTTACAAGAGTACAAGGAATATGAAAAGATGCAACTAATAACTGTTTTACTGTTGCTGTTGCGGTTTGATACAGTAACGACTCGGGCAACTGCTCAATAACGAGTCAGTTGTTTGTCCTTGCTGTCACGCTGTACTTGTCAGGTCAAAGGTCGCTGACCTTTGACTTTCGCGTAACCTCCAGCGGTTTCTTCACTTCTCAACCTCCGAGGGTTGACTCGCTGATGCTTCATTGTGTTTTGCTTCGCTTACAACTTAGTGTTTCGACACGACAGAGGCGCTTAAATCACTTGTTTCCAACACTCCCCTTCGCTTCTGGAGTGTCGCTGCTGGTGACGTGGCTCTGTCCAGTCAGCAGCATGCAGTACTCGAACTTCTGCTTTCCGAGCTTCTTGGTCAAGTAGTCAGCTGCCATCTCGGACGTGGGGCAGTATGACAGCTCGAGTCTTCCTTTCTCGATCTCGTCCTTCACGAAGAAATATCGCAGGGCGATGTGCTTCGCAAGGCTTCATCCACGTTCTGCTCGTCCTAGTCAGCTTCGTCTGCTGCCGAGGCGAAGGCTCGGTCACCATGAAAACCACCAGTGGGGTCCCGGTCTTCTTCCAGGTTGGCAAGGTACGTCGGAAGTGTGAGTCGCTCGTAGAAAATGACATCACGTGCTGCTACTGTTTCCTTTGAGTGGACGTCGAAAATCTTCCACGCGTTGTAATTCTTTTCAATGCCCAGGTGTAGGCCCCACTGTGCGCGTTGGAAGAATCGGCCGGCTCGTGCAGCTGGGGGTCGGTGTGAAATAACGAGGAAAGTGTGCACTAGGAACCAGGTGGGTACAAGTAGGAAACCCTAAAAGTGTTGTACCCTATATTGTCTACCCCACTACAGCCTACACAGACTAAAGCATATAAGTTTGACACACCCCCATAGGCAAGTGGGGGAGAACAAGGGGTCACAAGACCAGTCAAGTAAAGCACAACAAGCTCAGGGTGGATCACAACGTCACCACACATTCCGAGCACAAGTTCAAAGGCCACAAGGCCAGCTCACATGCATGATTAAATATATATATATAAAACTAAACATGCAAGTGCAGGTATATAAAGGTCACAGTACAAACAAGGTCAAGAGGTGAGCAAGTGAGGCAAAGTAGGCACAAGACCTAACAGAGTACAGAAGCGCTGATGATCACAAGGCGGGAGTGCCTTGGTGAAGATATCAGCAGTGTTGGCCTGAGAGGCCACGTAAGCCAGTCGCAGCTGACCACGCTGCTGCAGCTCACGAGCAAGGAAGTAGCGAAGAGCAATGTGCTTCGTTCTGTGCTCCAGTCTGTGCTCCCGACACAAGGCCAGCATGGCCTTGTTGTCTACGTACAAAACTGGAGGAGAACGAGGCGGCTCTCCAAGGTCAGTCAGCAGGTAAGTGAGCCAGCATAACTCCTGTGCAGCCATGGCCCCAGCGTAGATCTCAGCCTCACAGCTGGAACAGAGAACAGAAGATGAGCGGGTAGACCGCCACGAGACAGAACCGGAACCAAGGCTGAAGGTGTAACCCTCTGACGACCGCTGCGTAGCCTGGTCGTCAACCCACGAAGCGTCTGCGTGACCAGTGAGGACCACCGGACTCCGCCCTCCAAGCACAAGCCCCATGCCCGACGTACTGCACAAGTAGCGCAACACCCTCTTCGCTGCAGCCATGTGCTCAGGTCTGTGTCTCCCAGGAGCAACATAGCGTGCCATAATGCTAAGAGGGTATGCAAGGTCAGGTCGAGTGCAGGTCATCAGGTACATGAGGCAGCCAACAAGCTCTGGGTACGGGCCACTCGACTCTACGGACTCATCCGAAGGCAGAGCTGAGAGCGAGTGGCGAGTAGACAGAGGAGTGGCCTGAGGCGAGGAGTACGTGAAGCCGAAGCGCTGAAGGACCTGCTGCACCATGTGTGACTGAGTCAGGGTAATGGTGCGCTGTGCTCTGTCCCGAGTGATCTGCAAGCCAAGGTAGCTGCGCAATTCACCCAGGTCTGTGCACGTGTGTCTCTTCTGCAGCTCGGACTTCACGTGGGCGAGTCCAGCAGTGTCAGCTGTGGCAAAGACCAAGTCGTCGACGTACACGAGGATTTAGAACGGCGGCAAAGAGGTGTCGGTGCGAAGAAACAGCGACGGGTCGGCAGTAGAAGGAGCAAACCCAAGAGCCGCAAGTGTAGTCCTCAGTGTGTCGTGCCACTCACGGGGCGCCTGGCGGAGACCGTAGACTGGCCGCCGGAGGCTCCACTGGGTACCAGGAGGAAACGACCCAGTGAAGCCAGGTGGGCGGCGCAGCCAGATCTCCTCGTGCAGGCTGCCCTGCAGGAAAGCAGTGCTGAAGTCAAGAGAGTGAAGCTCGTAGTCGCGCTGAGCGGCTATGTGCAGCAGCACCCGAAGAGTGGTCATCTTCGGGGTGGGAGAGAAGGTCTGAAAGTAGTCAACTCCCTGCCGCTGACTGAAGCCTCGAGCCACGTAACGTGCCTTGAAGACAGGCGGAGAGCCCGGCGGGCGCTTCACCCTGAAAATCCACATGCCACTGACGATGTTCGCCCCAGGTGGGGGAACCTCGTCTACGTAGGTGCCTGTGGACTTCCAGGAGGCCATCTCTGTATCCATTACTGCCTGCCACTAAGAGGAGTAGGGACCCTCTATCGCCTCTGCGTAAGAATGCGGAGTCGGGATGTCTGGTGCATCCGGGTCTCCCTCAGGGGCAAGCAGCATGGACACGAGATGAGGTGAAGCAGCAGCAAAGCACTAAAACTCCTCCTGCCTGTCCTCAAGGACGTCCGTGCTAAGAGCACACTCACCCCCGACGGACGGAGGACAGACAGACTCAGACTCAGCAACAAGACTAGCAGCGTAGTCCAGACGACAGCGAGCAGCAAAGTCGACAAGCTCAGCAACCAAGGCAGACGCAGCAGCGGACTCAAAGGAAGGGTCAGTGACAACAGTAGAAAGGAGACGTGTGACATAGGACTGGCAGCACGAAGGGAGTCCGACTCCAGGTCAGGAAGAGCAGGAAGAGAGGACTCTGGAGGAGACGACAAAGGGACACGCAGCGGAGCAGTGGAAGGACGCAGAGACATCCGGTGCGTACCGGGGACAGGAGGAGGACGCTGACGCGAACCACGACCACCAGTGCGAGCAGTACGGACAGGCGACGCAGGACGAGACGCAGGCTCACGGCGCGCAGCAAGACCTCCAGTAGGACCAGTGTAGGGAGAAGGAGCAGGCAGAGGGGAGGCGGGCTGTAACTGTGACTCGGACACGACAGGCGGTGGACACTCTAAGGGAGGAGCAGGACCAGTAGAGGGCGGAAGACCAAGAACCTGCTCAAGAAGCGGAACGAAGTACGGCCGCGGCCGCTCAGCACCCCCAGAACCAGTAGGAACAGCACCAGCACCAATAGCACCCTCAGCTCCAGCAGCGCCAACACCAGCACCCTCAGAAGCACCAGCAGCACCTCCAGCGCCAACACCCCCAGCAGCTCCAGCTCCAGCCGGAACACCAGACGACGCAGCAACCCCAGCTCCAGCACCTCCAGCAGCACCTACTCCAGCAGCACCGCCAGCTCCAGCACCGCCAGCAGCTCCAGCACAAGGAGCACCCCCAGGCCCAGCAGCTCCAGTACCTCCTGTACGAGCACCTCCGGGACCCGTGGCACCAGCACCCTCAGCAGCAGTAGAACCTCCAACACCAGCAGCACCTCCAGCTCCAGTAGCACGGCTCCAGCGCCGAGCAAACCACTCGCGCAGCTCCTGTGGAGAGAGTAGATCCTGCCGGGACGAAGCACTCGAAGGACCTCCAGACCCAGAACCGCCAGACACCACACGAGCAGGCCCAGCACCCTCAGGCTCCGCACCCCCAGTCTCAGCACCCCCAGTCTCAGCACCCCCAGGCTCAGTACCACAAGTCGCAGCACCCCCAGAGTCAGCACCCCCAGGCCCAGCACCCCCAGACCCCGCACCCGCAGGCTCAGCACCCCCAGCAGCACCAGAGTCAACAGCTACCTCGA